TAGCAAGAAAATCTAGAAGTTCAAGAAAATTTCCTTTATTACATGAAGACATTGACTCATCATTACCACAAAAAGCCAACCCTTGGCACAATAAAAATCAAATGCAATCAATTATTGCAGTCAAATGAATTAAGTATTCCTTTTTAATTTGATGAGACTATTTATATATGGCAACATAAATATGTTGCTTTTTTTCATTAGAGCTTCACAATTTCTCCATGATTGATTGTGAGAACTATTTGGGCCTCCTACATGAACTTGAAACTTGTCACTTTTTTTCCAATTTGTAAAATCTTCTGTTATAAATGCATCACCACTTTCTTTATGTTCTCCAACATGTGATCTCATAACATAACAACATAAGCAATATGTCTCATCTTCCTTTTGACTATATTCTAACCAATTGTCATATTTTAAATACTAATCTAGATTAAATTTACAAACAGTATCCCCAAATTGTCTTTGTGGAAAATTAATCTCTTTTGGTTGACAAGGACCTTTTTACAAATAATATCTCCTAATTTCATCTCTATTATTTGGATAATGATATGACATTTTTTGCCTCAAAGTAGGATCATTAGGAAGTTTTTCCAAATCAAATTCCAAAAATATTTTTTTATTAGTTGGACCCAATATTCTACTTCTACATTCATCAAGTGCTTGAGGAGAAGATGATTATTCTGATGTTGATTTTCTTTTAAAAAATATTTCCATTGCTAGAAATAAAATCAATATAATTATAATTAATTTCATGTTCATAAAACTAAAATCAATAATAAAGATGATAATATTTTACATAAAAATAACAATTATAAATAAACTAATGCAAGTAATGCATTAATAAAATAAAACAAATCAAATATGCAAATAATATAGTGATAAAAAAGTAACAAATGCAATAGAACAACTGTTGAACAACTCACAGCTTGTTGGATAGAAATTTGTTTATCTAAAACTGAAGCTTTTACACCAAAAAAAATCCACAGAACCTAAGAGAATAAGAGCTATTGTGTTGCTGACTTGTTGCGTCATGTGTGAGAAAGAAGAAACCTTGTTAACATTTGAAAAAAAGCAATTGAAGTGAAAGAATTAAAAAGAGAGACACGTGCATGTCAGATACAAAACGTGAGTTTTGTTATATGTACTTAGTTGGCTTGTTAGAGAAGTTTTGTGAGATATAAAATTGAGTGGCATTAAAGTAATTTTAGTAAAATTTGGAGGCAATTCTTTAATATAATAAAAAGTGATTAACCTATGTTTCTGTGACAGTGTGGGGGCAAATAAAATATTAAAAGGGACATTAAAATATTATATATATATATATATATATATATATATATATAATATAGTGGGGGCAATTGTCCCCACTTCAATACTACTGAATTTGTCCCTGATCAGGAAGGTGATACCGTTCACATTTATAAGGTCCTAAGTACTCAAGAGGGGTTCGATATCCAGCATCAACCAAATAATATTTACCTAACCATAAATGTTTTATAAAAATGAGATATATAAAAACAAATATAACAAATTAGAACAAGTTAAATACAAAGTAAAAATTATTAGTTATAATGCAAACCTGTGGGAGGATGTGAAAATTTGAGAGAAGCATCATGTAGTGCTTCATGAAAAATCCTAGCATCACCATTATCCATTAGTGCCTTTTTTTCCTTAATAGGTTTGCCATCTTATACCGATAAAAAAAAGAATTAAAAAGAAAGGAAAAGAGGATATTGTCAAAGCATTATTCCTAAGCATTAATAATTCTTTAAATCTTTGCCCCTGTTGTTAGTTTTAAGGAGAAAGCACAAGGAAGATAAGGGACTAATCCTTGAATAAGTAGAAGTTCACAAGGATAGCACAATTAACCAAAGAAATCTAAGGCCAATTCCTGTAACAAGTTGATTCCTTTCTAAATGTTCATAACTTCGTATAACAACCAATTATAGTAATAGTTGATTTTCATGAAAGAATGAGAATAAAAGAAATACAATGCAAGTGTTGAATGCAAACTGGGCTGTTTCATTATTAAATATGAAAATGCTTAAATATAAAAAAACAAAATAACTAATGGGAGATCATGTTCTATATTCCTAGCCACTATTGATAACAAACTAACCAGTAAACAGAACTGACTATCTAAGCAATAAATATTAACATATCCAAATCATAACAGTAATATATCACTTGATTCAAACTATAACAAACTTAGAGACATCTAAGGGCAAATCATCAACAGTAACTCCATTTATACATATAGCAAGAAAATGCAAATTAGAACCAAGGATCAAAATTAAAATACCTTAAAAGGATAACAAAGTGGCAGCCAACAAACATACCAAAAACAACAAACCAAAGCCACAAAACACAACCTCTTATGGTAAGTAACAATGAAGAACAAAAACACTCACTAATCTAAGTTTAGTTTTTACCTATGAAAGATGTTGGTGTATACTTTAGGGTTTCTTTCCTAGCAAAGGAAAATAAAAAATAACAGCAATTGAAAGTGGAATCCCAAAAGAAAAATCACTCATTGTGGAATCAAATAGAAAAAAAAAATCCAAAAAATCATACTTCGTTTGTAAATTCATAGACCCCACACGTTTTCTTAGTGATCCTTCATATTCTCTTCATATAAGCACAATCTTTGTAATGGAAAGAAGAAATTGACTGAAAGAAGTTCATAAATACTATTTTTTTAAGAAGGTATTAGTGGGTGTGGTAGTTGGTGACAATAAACTATCTATAAAGAAAATAGTAAAGTTATTAATAAAAAAAAATTATTTTGTCCCAACAGCTTCGCAGAGAAAATGCTCAATTTTTATCTTTTAACCCAATAACTTTTCTCTTTAGAAAATAATAATCCATAGCTTTTAATTTTTTTACTCAAACATAATTTTAATCCGCCCTAACAACTTTTTTATCTAAAAAAACTGTTAAAAAGCTTTACTACACATACACTAAATAGTTGCGTATTGAGGACTTATGTAGAATTCCTACTTAATAAAATCACAATCCACACAAATGTCAACAATAACACTTAATCTGGTACAGAACACATAATTCTTAAAAGGATCTTCAAGCCTACTGGCGCTTCCTTGATCGACAAGGTGTCTCATTGCTACCTAAGGTCGCTGGTTGATCAATTCCCTCCTCATGTACATTTCTCAAATATTCCCCACCTAGATCCCAATAGATGCTCACCCACAATAAAAACTAAATTATAATAGTAAAAATTATAATGCCAACTATTAGAATTTTGAACATCAACTCAATCTAACGTAAGAAGAGAGTAAATTTTATGTTTAAGCTCGATTTATCTAAAATGTTTTAGACAACTTAACCTTATAATCTTCTAACTTGTATACTTTTTAATTTATTAATATAAATTAAACCATAGCCACTTATAAGTATTTTTTTTATTTACTAAATTAATAATAATTTTTTTATAAAAAAAGGAATTCTCTGATATTTCTTGTAAAATCTATTAAAAAAAGTAACTTTTCTGCTTTTATATTTTGCAACAAAAAATAAAAAATTGCATATTCTTTTGTAACTTAAACGTTTCGCTAGCTTATAAAAGTTGTTACAAAATCCCGTAACACACGCTCGACGGTCCAAGTGCGTACCGTACATGGCAAACCCCAACGTAAACAAAATAAAAAAGCCAACAAAGTCTACTCCATTATCAATGCCAACCACTCTACCACGTGGCACTTTACTAATCCAATTCTTCGTTAAATTGGTTATAAAAGAGCTAAATTATTTTATCCATTATCGGATTAATTATTTCTTAAACCTATCAATTAAGTGCACTAATTAAATGCTCTTTTGATTTAAAATAGATATTTCAATTTACTTATTGGATAAATAAATACTAATAAGTATCTTATGATATTCTACCTTTTATGTTTTGAAATTTCCTACCAATAAGCTTGAGGACATTTGTTAACGTGATCTAATTAGACATACTAGAATATATGAATAAATTTTTTTTGAAAAAAGTTAATGTCCTCTTGGAATTCTATATCAACATGTTAATGTTAATTTGAAACAAAATAAAAATCTCAAAATGTGAATTATTTAAAACAGAGAGTATATTATTAACACGTTATTAACAATGTTTGCTAATTATCAATTAATTACGATAGTTTATAGTAATACAATAATAGTCAGTTGATATAATAAACATAATTAGGTATAAGTTTATGCAATAATTTCTTTGACGAGTTATAATATAACGATCTCATTCAGCATTCCTCTACTCTCTTTTTTTCTACGTTTTCATTGTGGGGTTAGTTGAAATGAGTGAAATATTTGACTATTCTTGAAGGACAAACGATTCCTACCTTGAATCCCCAGCGATTTAGAGGAACAGTAAAATATTACATAGATTATTACTTCTATGAACGAGCTTAAAATTGACCCAAATTAACCACAAAATCTATTAGTTTAATTACATTGTTGATTACTTTTTCCTAGTTTAATTATGCACTTTTTAATTTAAATGATATAATTAAAGCAATAAATATTTAATTGACGATATAAATCAAGTTAATCAAACTATTTTTCATATTTTAACAATACTTAAAGTATTGTTCATAATTTTTTTAAGAATGGCAAAACAATTCAACCTACCATATTTTACCCTATCCCGCTATCAACCAATAAAAAAATGCATTGGGTTCAATCTACCCTATTTTTTAAGACAGATTAAAAAAATTAGCAGTTAGTGATTTGACTTGCTTAAGTAAATACAAAAAATGTAATTATTTTAATCATTATTATTTAAAAAATTAATTCAATGGTTAAACCTGCCCCTCCTCTATATAATCCAATTTAAAATATAGGTAAGCGGAGGTAAGCTGAAAGATTTAAAATCACAACTTGATCTGTTAAATTTGGTAAATTAAGCGAGTCAACTTCACAGATGGTACCAGTTTTTTTAAGCACTTGCAGAACATCTCAGGGGAAAAAAATATAATTTATTATATCATTCAATAAATGCCAATGCTAATATGATAACACAAGTCATAATCGTTTTTAAGCCATTACCTTTAACCAAAGTAAGACACGTGAAATCATAGAAAGAATTATGACAACTTCTTATTCCAAGAACGCCAAATCTATCTAATAATAAAAGAAGAGGAGAAAGTAAAGACAAGAATCCGATATTAGAATTATGCTGTATGGAGCAGTGGTTAATAATGGAACACGTAGACGTTGTACTCCACAACAGCATCCCCTGTTTTTAAGTCAACAGTGTGAGTCTTGGCCTGAGCATAACCACGTGCGAATCGGAAAGCACCGCTTCCGCCAACGATTGGCATTTCCCTGACGGCGGAGAACACCGCATTTCGCCCCAACAAACTGAGTGTGCTGCCATTGTATTTCCCCTCCATGAACGCCAAGTTCATGACCATCAACAACCCCAACTCGTCCTGGGCCGCAGAGCCGTAAATTCCTTGGGCCTTTCCCACGAGTTTGGAGCCAGGTTCGGGGCCGACAGTCAATGGGTCGTCGGTCATCACCATGAGACCGAAAAAGGTGGAGGAAGTGTTGGTCATGTGGGCCTCGGCCACTTTGACCGCGGTGGGCTTTGGGCCGCTGACAATGTCGTGGAAGAAGAAGTGAAGGTGGCTGAGCTTCTCCTTTTGGAGGCCCAAAGACGTCGGAGGAATGCTTCGGTAGAAACGTGAGGATTTGGCAGTAACTAGTGAGGAGAAGAGGAGGGTAACGATGAAAATAGAAATTAGGGTTTTGGGTTTGGCCATAGAGATAATGGAGGTGGTGATGCTGAAGACCCAAAGATTAGGGAATGTAAAAGCAATGAGAAGAGATAGAAGTTTTGGAATCTCTTATAGAGTGGATGAAGCATGGGAGTGACGCAGACGCAGAAACTTTTTGGACCAAGAATTTTGCTACCTTTACTTAATAGGGTGTGGTCCTTTGGAATATCTTTTACTTTTTCTTTTGCAAATGTGTGTGTTAGCTCTCAGGTTTTTTTACTGTGTGAGATGAGAGAGAGCTACTGTATTACTCATCAAATATCAATTATAAGAATAATTTTAAATCTATTTATAATAACTCCTTGTTAACAATTTTATAAATAAATATTATTTTAATCTTTTATATTAAAAGCGTTGGTAATTTTATACAAAAATTCCCTTTAAACTTTTTTTAAATAACTTATTTTATTTTGATATAAAAAAATTAAAATAAATATAAATTTGATAATTATGTGTTGTTAATATAGAAAAATGACACATTATCTAAGTGACAAGCAATTTGGTTGGGCACTTAGATGAGTCTTTTTTTATATACAATTATTCGAATCTTAGTAGCAAACTCCGTGCCACTCAAACCAATTTTCGATAACAATGACACATTATTTTAATTATAATATGCGTATAACCATGTATTAATAAAATGTTTTTTTAAAGTTATTATATTTGAACACCGTTATGTATAATATAATTCACCAACTTAACTTGCTTGTTACTCTTAATTCCCATTTTAAAACAAGTTAAATGAGGTATATTAGAATTGTCGGAATACAGTTTTTAAATTTTTATAATAAAAACAAATGAGTTTAAATTATATTTTTAATCTTTACAAACATAGTTAATAAACATCAAATCAAAATTTTAATATCAATAAAATAAGCAGTTATTTAAGCTAAAATTCCTAAACGAGTCACTCATCAACTCCTAAAACCGAGATAGAGTAATACTTTCAATGCATTTTAAAAAATAAACTCGCTGAACCTATCAAGTAATGGTCACAACTCAGTCATTAGAGAAATTTATTAATCAAATTTGATAGTTATTACTTATTTAAAAGAATTTATCGCCATTATAACAAAAGAACTAACTTTAAATTGAAATAAAAACTAAACGATTAAATTTTAAAAATTATGGTAGATTCAACCATAAATTTAAAGAATAAAAATAATAATTTCCTATTAATAAGCAAATTTGTTATGATAAAAAGTTAATGTTATAATCATATTAAATAAAAGTTTTACTTATCAGATCAGTTGTAACTGTTAATTTATTTTATTTTTTTCTGCTGTTGTTGTTAATTTATTTTTCAACGAATAATAAATAAAAGATGTCATTTTCTCTCTTTTTCAATAATTAGTTGATATTCAATGCAGAGACAAGTTAGCAAAATGACAATAAGTAGTGACCTACGCTGTATGCATGTGATTTGTGAATCTAAACAGAATGATTCTTTTCAACTATCAACTATTCAATTGAACCTCTGCCATAAAGTTAAAGTAAAAAATATAGTAATAACGGAGGTTTAATTCGAATGAGTTAAGCAAGATTTTAGCAAAAAATTGTTTTTGGTAATAATCTCATTTATAACATTTAAGTACATAATTCGGGTTAGATATAAATTAAATTAGATAAAAAGTAAATAAAAAACACAATAAATAATGTAAATTTAATTATACATTTTTAATTGATGTTTGTACATAAATAAATTAAACTAAATAACATATTATTATATATCTTAAATTAAACAACCTCATATAAATATCTTAATTTAAGTTATATAAAAGAATCCACCCCAACGTGTCCTAATCGAACTAACTGTTTTCTTCTCTTTTTTTTTTATTTCAAGAGATAAATATTCGTTCATAAAATGTTACTAATTACTTTTAAAAATAATGTATACTATTTTATCTCTACAAGTCATGAAAAAATGGGATGGATTTATTTTTTATTTTTACTCAAGTTAAAATTTTAATTGAGTTAATTATTTATACTCCAATTTAACTCAATAGAATCAATTAAAAGTAATTTTTCTAATTTAATATATAATTTTGTTTTTAATTTTTGAAAGAAGACTTTTAGTGTTTCTAGTGTGACTCAAATAAGATTCTTTATAGCAAAAGATACTTATAGTCTATAAATAAATAAAACAACTCAATCAAAACTCTATAAAATAAGATTAATTAAACTCATTTTTTCACATAATATATTAATCTTAACCGTATACATAACTAAAATATAAAACAAAAATTAAGATATATTTTAATATTTTTTAAATGAATAATATTAATATAAAAAGGAATTCACTTTACTCTTTAAAATAAAACGTAGTTTATAAACATAATATTTTCTTCATTCAGTTATTAGCTTAAGATTTTTAACAAATAAATTAAATTTATAAAATTTTATAAATTTAAAAAATTATTTAAATTTTATTAAGTGACTTTATTTTGATTAATAATATATTTTATAAAATATAAAGAAATGTTTATATATGATTATATAACCATGAATGTTAAATTTATGTTGAATCGATCATGTATAATCATAAAAATAATATTATATAATTTAATGATTAAATCAATTGACGAATATAAAAAAAATTTAAATGAAGCAAGTAACCAAAACTTATTTCTAAAGCAAGTAAATTTATTTTCATTCAAAATAATATCTATTAAATCAAGAACTATTAATATCAATATATAATTGTTAAAAAAGTATAAATTTTGAAAACATACATGACAACAAGGGATGGAATGACCCAAAGTATAATCTATGCGAGTCCTAAAAGCTATTAGTGAGATGGGTTGGGTTATGAAGACTCTAAAAAGTTATTATTACCCTTTTAAGTAATTATTTTTAACAAAAGAAACATTCGCTGTTTCAAATAAATTTAGATTCTCTTGGGTTGCTAAATTACATTATTTTGTGCCTGTTTATATAATAATGCTAACAGAGAATTGAAAAGCGAAAGAAAGACAACGCAATTAAGACATTATATTTCCCTTCTGTGAACTCAGAATTCATTAGCATCACCAGCGCAATCTCGTTCTTGTCCGCAAAGCCGTACATTCCTTGGGCCTTCCCACGTGTTCTGGGCCCATGGTCAATGGATCATCGGCCATCAATATGAGACCGAAAAGTGTGAAGGAAGTGTTGGTTTCATGGGCCTGGGTCACTCTGACGGTGTTGGCTTTGGGCCACCCACTGTCGTGGAAGTAAACGTGAAGGTGGACCAACTTCTCCTTTTAAAACCCAGAGATGTTGGAGACATGTTTCGACAGAAATGATGGTCATTTGCAACAGCTAGCGAGGAGAATAGAACAGTGAAGGTGATCGTGAAAATAAAGGTGAGGTAATCTTATTTAACTTGAATAAGATTGTCTTCAATAAAAAAATATTTTTAGTCAAGACAAATAAAAAAATCATGTTAGTAAAATTTTAAATTATTTAATAATTATTTATGAACATCAAAGCTCACATAAAATATACTTTTAAAAAGTATGAATAAATTTATATTATATTCCTACGGTTGTTTAATTTTTTTTAAAATTAACATGGTTAATTAAGGTAATTAAAAAAATTACAGTGTATATATTGAACGGACAAATTTCCCTTCTTCTGTCCCCCGGTTGTTTAGTGCGAATTTCTTAAACCCCATGAAAATTATGGGCATGCCCTGAGTCTAAGAAGTAGTAGTTTAAAGAAATACGTAACATTACCTGCAAACTATAAAGTAAAAGTCAATTCGTTTGCTTTACTTTTTGGTGAGAGAGTTCTGAAAATGGACGAAAAAACGAACGCTAACAGCTAAACTAAACGTGGAAGCCGCCAGTCCTTCTATTTCTGCGTTAGATAGTTGTATTGCTCACCACTCACAATGCACACTGCATAGACATAGTCATCACAAGTGGCTCCTGTTTGTCTAAGGGAGGAAGATAAGACTCCATCTTTACTCTCTTCTTACCTTGTTCAAACTCAACCTTTTTATATAAACTTGTCAAAATATAATTGAATGATGACGTACTAATTAGTGTTTAAATTATGTAAAAAAATTTAATTTTATCTATTATATAAAAAAATTAACTTAAATTGTGGAATTGATAAAATTTATTTTTGATAAAAGAAATATTAAATTTTGAACCCTAATTTTATTTTATGTCGATTTTCTTAAAAAATTTATCCTTATTTAGATATTTTGTAAATAAAATATAAAATCATTTAATTTTTATATAAGTAATATTTTTACATAAAAGTGAATATATTTACTTTTTATATTTATTTACAGACAAAATTATTAATAATATATTAATATTATCATAATTTGATTGACAAAATATGTTCAATAACATGTCTGATAAATAAACATTACATTTAATAAATCTATTGCAAAAATTAAAAATAAGAAAAAAAAATTAGTACATAAAACCACTGAATACAAGTTTAGCAATAAAAGAAAACAAAACAATAACTACTCGCTAAAAACTAAACGTTATAGGAAAGATTATGTGTATTGGCTTCAAGGTCTTTCCAATACTCAGTCTTTTAAGCAGTGCCATGTGTGTACCTTTTGTACAGTAAATAATTTAGACATACATTGTTTCTAAAATTATGAAATAAATTTTTTCAACCTTAAGTTCGTGTCGTATAGAGTAATATCAACTTCATATTCTCACGAATATTGATATATAATTTTAAATAAAATAAAAAATTTCTCCATTGCAAAAATCTAGCTATATCATTTTTTGTTTTCTTATATTTGCCAAATAAATAAGAGCATCAGTAACTTTTTATCATTATTTTGTTTAGTATTGCATAAAATATATAAATTAAACTTAAAAACACATTTTTTAAAAATTATTAAGGGTAAAATTTGAAAGTTGAGTTAAAAATATAAAGAGCGTAAATAAACATACATTAGAGTAGTAACAATCCCAGTGTGTTTGGTATAATAGAAAAGTATACATGACTGTGTTAAGCAAAAATATTTTAAAAAATAATTGTAAGATAAAATAACTAATATTGAAAAAATAATGTTACGAACAAATATTATATAAATAATATAATTAATTATCTTTCCTGAATTGCGATTGTACACATAAGTGTTACTTATTCAAAAGATACTATTAAAAACTTTTTTAATTTAAGGTTGAGTTGAATTGATTTTGAGAAAATTAGTTTTATTTAAATTATAAAAAATAATTAAATATATAACTAAATATATATAGATTGATTGGAAAATATAAAATAAAACTTTTGGATAAACAAGTAGCAGCTTTCCCATTTGAAAAATCAGTTTAAAACGATTTATAGTTTATGTTTTCTTACGCCCTTAATGTGGGATTATTTTTGTGACGTCAATGTTGAATTATTAATGAAACAGCACAACACACGACTGTTGAATACTTACAGACACATGAAATTACGAAATTCTCATCTCTCTGATTACAGGAACGCGAGATGTGAGGGGAAACAACTATTGCTTTGGTCACAATAAATAAATTAATATATATTTTATGTTGATTTTAGTCGCAGCCGTCGCACTTTTCCACTATGCCGTGTCAAATTAGCCTTTTGTTATTATATTCGAGAAAAAATGCTAACAGAATTATCTGTTAGTTAATAAGTTGTATGATAATGTTAAAAAAATTATAGTATAAAAAAATCATTTCTATTTTTAAAAAAAATTATATTATAATACCTAGCTAGCTACATTAATCCTTTAAAATGTCAGATAATATATCTAACTATATATATAATTAAACCAAACAATTAATTATTGATCAATTAGGGGCTGGTTTAGGTGATAAATATTAATTTTTAAATTATTTTTTTTAATTTTAGTTTTTTCATATTGTACATGTTTTTATTCGAATAAAATTCTCTTTTATAAAATAAAACATATGTAGTCTAGAATTTTTATATATTTTTAACATGAAATTTAATTAAAAATATTTATTAATTTCTTAAGAATTTAACCAAATCCTTAGAAAAACAGTTTGATTTCAGTCTAAATCTTTGGTATATTACTTGAATTAATTAAGTATTTTTATAAATTCAATTTTTTATTTTAACTTAATTTAATATGATATTTGTTGGATATAAAAATATATAAGTAAAAATATTAATAAAATTAACGCGTGATTCTCACCTCAAATAGGTTTCCTTTTCTATTTATTAAATTTTCAGAGTTTTATTTAACTATAAAAATATATTATTAACATTTTTGATATACAAATTTTTATAATATAATTAAAGACATGAATTAATTGGTATAAAAATATTTTAGCTTAATTAATAATTTTGAGTTCAAATTCGTGTGTATACAATTGTATTAAAAACTCACAAGAATAGTTTATTCTACCTACGTAAAAAAGTTCATTATTGTGAATTATAAACGTAGTATAAATTAAGATATAAATTTCTAGAACATATTGACCTCCGAATTAAATAACAATGTTAAGTACACGGATTAAACAATGACCCATCAGGCATCACTTCATTATTTAGCTTAGAAGTGATTTGAACAAAATCAAACGTACATTATAGAGTTTAATATTAATTTATCGTTAATGCAACATTGACTTACATGAATTATACATCACACGGACTATTTAGAGTAACTAATATTAAAGGGTTCAAGGTCTCAATAGAAGCATGAAAACTTGCATTATTTTTGTTGAACAAAGCTCTGGGTTTAATTATTTAAAAGACACGTACTAAGAAGATCCAGTATCAATCTTCAAAGAGAACAAATTCAAGAGGGTAACAACAGTAGGAGGCACTAACCTAATGGCAAAACATTAACATAAGGAGGAATATATATATATATATTGGTTAATTAAATCTCAATAATGGAGCAAGAATACATCGTATTCAACGATGGCATCCCCTTTGGAGAAATCGACAGAGTGAAACTTGGCCTGAGCATACCCCCGTGCAAATCGAAAAGCTCCAGTGCCGCCAACAATGGCCATCTCTCTCACAGGTTCACTCATGATCATGTTCCTTGCCAACACGCTAATGCTGCTGCCATTGAACTCACCCTCCGTGAAAGCCATGGTCATCACCATCATTAGCCCCATCTCCCCTTGCGATATAGAGGTGTAAATTCCTTGGGCCTTTCCCACCAGTTTGGAGTCGGGTTCCGGCCCAACGGTCAATGGGTCGTCCATCGCCACCACGGTTCCGAATGGCAGCGAATCCACGACCTTCCCATTGGGCTCCGCCACAACCACCATGCTTGGGTTTGGGCCGGTCACAACGTCATGGAAGTAGTAGTGAAGGTGAGTGAACTTCTCCTCGCGAAAATCGAAAATCGATGGGGACGTAGTTTGATAGTAACTAGCAGTGACCAGAGAGGATAAGAGGAAAGAAAGGTTAAGGCAAATGAAGAAAGTGGATTTGGCCATGGGGTTACTGATAGGAACTATGAAAGCAAATAGTCGACAATGTACGAGTAGCAAGAGTGACTAGTTACGTCTTGGACTCGATTCATAGCATTCTAATAGGCAATGATGAGCTATTTATAACACGCCATGCTACATGCTACTTAGAAATTCGAAGGCAAGAAATGTCGACGATTGATTTATATTTTGTGAAACTGAAATATGAGAAAATTTTACGTGAAAAATGATAATATTATATTTATGATGGTGGCGTCAGTGGATGTGTCTACGAAATATTTCCGTTTATTATATGGTGGCTGAGCGCATATCTTTGATTTATTAAGCGCCTATTCAAATATGGACACATCTTGCTTGGAATATCATACTCTGTTCATGACGTGTTGACGAATACCAACCATGCTTGGAATAGTACTATTTAGTCTTACTTCTTTTTATCAGGAACGTTATAACTAAGGAGACGAATATATTATTTTGAGAGCATTTTTTGTCAAATTTATTTATTTAATTATTTTTTAAGAATATTAAACATTGTCGACTTAATTAATTACCTATTTGAAATTCTATATAAATAGATTAAATCTACGCAATCACATACGAATTAAAAGTTATATGATATATCATTTGTAATAAATTAAAAATAAATTTATCCACAAGAATTAATCTATTTATTTAATTTGTTTCCTATTAATAATTATATCATTCAAATCCAGATTTATTTTTATCAATAAAAATAAAATATAGTTATCGTTGAAATTGACAATTTGTAACAACATTAAATAATAAAATTCTGCTCTCACCTTAGGTTTTTAAATTAAATAAATAAATAGAGACTTAGTGCTTATTTGTTTGGCACAGAGAGAATTGTGGCGACAAATTCTCTATTTAACTATTTAACCTAGCTTCTTATTCAAATTTTGATTTTAATTATTAATTAAAATGAAATAGTTCTCCACGTGTTTAACTGTAAACGAACGTCTATGTGCGACAAAGAAATCAATTCTATTACTAAGAAAATTTTGAGCTTGGTGGCTACAAAAATTCTCTACCTCGTTTTAATATATTATTATTTTCTTTCCTTTTCAAACTAAAAAGTCAAATTGTTACGCATTTCTACAGAAGCCGGAGGCTATTGCATAAGTGATTCCTTTAGCTATTTTAAAGCATTTGCTTTGATGGTACAAAGTTTTGCTAAACAAATTGTCATATTAATAATAATTCTTTTACGTTGAATTAAAACACTAATAAAGAAATTAGCCTTTGAAACTAAGTACAAACTTGGATTAAAAAAAGGAAACTGAAAATTACGCTGGAGAAAACTCAATTAATAATACAAGTCTACCACAGCGGTTTAGAAATCATACTTTTAGTGTAAGTTTTTATTATAAATCAATCTCGTATTATCGCGGCATTAAATAATTTGGTTGTATTATAAATTATACAAGTTAACTTTTAAAAATGTAATGATAATATTGTAATTTTTGACTTTTGCACAATATGAAATATATGGGTAATAAACTAAAATTAAATTTTTAATTAAAAAAAATGTCGTGCATTTAATGGTTCAATAAGAGATCGCAAAGATTTGTTACTGTAAATAAAAAACTTTAAATAATTTTTTAGTCTGTACACAAAGTTTCTTTTTGTTTGGTTTCTATATAAAAAATTGTTTAATTTTTTTTCTAAATAGTCTTTTATTGTTATTTCATCTTTTATATTATATATATAATTCTTAGTCCAAGGAGAAAGTTTAGAAAAGATACAATACAATAAAGCAAGAAATAAGAGTTTACGATAATTATAAATAAAAATTTGAACAAAATTCACTACAAATTTTAATCAATAAAATAATAATAAAAAATAAAGCAAAGCTAAAAGAGAAAACCTTATTATAAAATAAATCAATGACTTTGGCACTAAATAATTATAAAAAAATGATTTATTAACTTAATTTGAATAAAGTTCTCATTACTTAAAGTGTTTATAGAAGTTGTTAACAAAAGTTGGTGTTTAAACAATAGGCAAAAAATTATTTTAATTTTACTTATTACGAAAAAACAAAAGAAGATTAATTGAGTTAACTTTTAGGGTGCTAAGTTCATTGATTTTAGTTTTTGTTGGAGAGAGTAGTGAGAGTGCTTTCTATTTGTTTTCCACATTTATCGTCCCTTGTTTAGTTTTTGTTCTTAGTAATGATATTTCCACTTATTAAAAAAAATGAGAGACTAATGTGAGATAAAAGGAGTTATGTGATGAAAGAAAATAAGAAAAAGTGTCAAAAAATATTTTAAATTTTTTTCATAAAATTTTTTTATTACTATTTTATTTTTGGTCTACATCAGTCTTTACTTAAATAGAAGGTTAAATTATTATATTTTAATATTAATAATCATGCATAATTTTATTGATAAAAATGCTAAATAGTTTTCTACTTACATTAGTATATATTTTAAAAGACGAAATATTATAAGAGTACGCATAGAAAAAGTATTAAACTGTTTCTTTAGTCTGGCTATGTATAAGGCTATCAAAGCTTCTACCCGAAGCCCCAACAATTAATGATTTCTAAAAACAATATTAATTATTAATATTTATTAATTAAAAATTGTATTTATTAGTATTAAAATAATATTAAGAATACAAAAATTTTTACTTAAAAATCATCTATTTTAAAATTCAATTTTATAAATTTATAATTATTTTATATATCATGACACTTTTTTTATTAGTCTTAATATATATATATATATATATATATATATATATATTCTATTAATTAATATTATAAACACTATAATAAAATAAGAAATTAAATTAGATTACTGAGAGTATCAATATTTTTCATACTGTCATTCCATCATAAATTATCATATAGTAAAAATTATTAATTTTTATAATAATTAATGTAAAAATTATTACTGTGATGTATTCTAATTGATTAATAATGTAAAAATAATGCACCAAAATTAAACTTTTAAAAACATTTATCAATATATAAATAGTCATAAACGTTAACTATTTAATAAGTTTAATTTTAGTATATAGTTATTAGTTAGTGTAGAATTTTTTACACTATTTACTAATAAAAATACATTATATATAATTGTTATATTAATTCTTATAAAAGTAAAAATTACTAATATTACAATCCACTTACTCTGTTAATTTATACAAATTAAATTCTTATTTAATACACATAATTTTTATGAAACAATGTCAACATTTAAATCTCAAATTAATAATATTGACGAAGTCAACAATGTCTCAGAAAACTTACATGAATTAACTTTAATATCAATTAAAGAAGAATATCAAATAAAATTGATTACAAAAATTTGGTAATTGATTTTACATCTTACAAATTTCTAAAAAATTAAAATAATAATATTTCCATACTACAAATAATTTAATTAACTGTCAACAGTCGAACTTTACTATCCTTTAGTTATTTCACTTGTATTTGTATTATTCTTTTTTATGAAATGATTCATTCTCTAATGAAAAGTCAGAGAAAAAATTATCACATTTTACTAGACAATATATCTATTTAAAATGTTATGTATTGATGTATAAAAAAAGAGCATGTTCATTTTGCTACTATGATTAGTCAAACTAAAATTCAAATGTATTACAAACGAAACATACAAAAATCAATTATACAAAAAAATTCAAATATTTTTGTTCAGACTTTAAACAATTTTATCCACTTCATACTAATTTTATTCATGCAAGTAAAATTTAAAGTAATATTAATTTTAGAAGAATTAAACTAAATGAAAATTATTTAAGTATTCTTTTATTTGGATTTACAATAACAAATTTATAGGTAAGTATAAAATACTATTAATGGGTATTATTTTCATGTATATTTTTTCTAGTTATTTTGTATATCATAAAATTAAAAAAAAATACATAAAATAATTAGTTTTTATTGCTATTTATTTGAAATTTTTTTAAAATAACTATTAAAATGTAAAATATAAAAAACAAAAGATAAAAAAGTATATAAATAGAATAAATTCTTTAATAAAAATAAAAATATCAAATATTATTTCTATAAAAAAATTAATACTATACTTGTATATACATGATTTATTGTATATCAAATTATCTCCCACTATTTCTGTCCTTTATGACTTGTCTCCGATCCATTGGGTCACTGGCGTCTCAATTCACAAAGTACGGAAACGGCCCAAAATTATTTTGAAAATTCATATATAACTGCGGTTGTTAATGTTTGAAAAAAAAGCTGAAACTATCTTATTTTATTTGTTAAAAAGAGAGCTCTCGTTTGCATTCTCAGTCCCCCAAAAATATTTACATAAAATTATAAATTCTCACATTTACAATTTTTTAATAGATTAAATTATAAATCACTACTTAACACACAATTGCTCAAAAGACTAAAAAATGACTGCATAAAATGATTGCATATTTTTTAATTTATAATATTATTTTTTTTGTCAATTCTCTATCATCCTTACTAGAAACAGATAACGTTTGAGAAACAGAAATAAACTTGTTTTGACACCTATTTGTTAGGCAAGTATACTCGTCAAGAAATAATAAAAAATTTTAAAATAAATTTTTAAAATATCATCTCACAAAGATTGATTTTTAATTATTTAAAAATTTTTAATTCAATTGTTTGAGCCTAAAAGATGTGACATCTTATAAAAACCAGAATTTAATTATAAAATTAATTATGAATAAAAGCAAATAAAACAACACATATTTTGGTTGAACTTATAGGAGAGGAATTTAGGGCGTATAAGTTTTCTCATTCAATCCTTTATTTTATTTTTTCATTTAAATCTAAATTTGATTTCTTTGTTATTACAAATCATTCATACTATTAATATCCAATGATTATGAAATATTAATATTCTTTTTTCTAATTAATATTTTCAATGATCATGCAAAACATCAATTAAAAAAAGCATAAAGTACCTATGAACTATTTAATTTAATAACGATTAGAAGAGAAAGATTAGTTTGGTCCACCTAATCCTTTGTCTTATTTTGCCATATAGATTCATTAACTAATCGAGGTTCGATCGTCTAAGGATATAATTAATTAGGATTATAATTATGTGCAATAGAATAAAAGTTAATCACAAACGGAAACTAAATATAGATTCAAACTTCAAAATCTCATAAATTCATGAATAATAGTTCTCATAGCCCTAGTTATGAACTTAATTACTCATGTTAAAGGAAAGAACTAAAATAATCATAAACTAGAGATGAGTTCCTGATCTTTAAGTACGATTGCTCGAAACTTCAAGTCTCACCAAGAGTATGTCAAAGATCATGTACAAGAGAAATGAGATGTGAAGTGTACCAAAGAGTAAAAGACAAGATGTAAATAGTGTGTCCAACAAGATGCCTAAGATATCTCTTTTATAGGGTTTGAAAACCCTAAAAGCTCTTTATAATTGGGCTTCCTGCAAATGAGTATGACTGTGCAAAGCCTTGATGAAAGGGTATGGATGTGCTGATTGCTACGACGCTCTAATCTTTCATCAATTTGCATCCAAAACGCACCTAAAATTCACTTGTAGCATCTTCATACTAAATAGCACATTTAACATATAAATCATTGTAAAACTCAATTAAAATAACGGTTAAACATAAATATATGGGTCATAGAAGAGGGCCTAATTACGAACTTATCAACGCCAATGTTGCAACATATCCCAGACATTTGGCCCATGCTTCTTCCTCCTCGCCTTGCAAAGTGCATTTCTAACATTAATTCTTTCTTGCACTACCTCCTCAACAACAACATTGGATTGAAAGGAAGTTAATTCTTGACTTAATACATGATTAGCCTCGTCTAACCCATGGGAATACCCAATAATCAGGTCATTAGATTTGCTTATAAAATTTTTTTTTGCCACATCCTTGACTCATGTTAGTCCCTTATCAATAACACCAAGTTTTCATCAACTTTCATGTCCCACCAATTAATTCCTTTCTTCATAAATTTCAATTAACAAAGGCTTACCTCGGTCAGCCTCCTTTTCAAATGCATTATCACTCTTATTTCTTCGAAATAAACACATCCCCAACCTTCCTATACCTTTGGAATATCTCCCGTAATGCTAACACTTCATAATTCTCCAAAAAGTTTGTACAAAAAAATGTTAGTAATATTTGTACACGACCAATATAACTGTCAAATTTTACTTGATATTTTCTCTATTGAGTCATCACAAGCGTCCACCCATTATGAACCTCACCCACCCTCTCACACCCTCTTACTCTCTTTTTGTAGTATAATGCAAATTGTTTTTTTCCAGCACCTCCTCTTTCTCCTTTGATGTCAATACTCTTCAAGATTCTTACATATCATCCCACTCTAATTCCCATACACCAAAACATTTCTGAAAAAGGATTTTTTCCCCTTTCGTCATTCCATTTGTTTTCAATTACCTCTCTTTTATTTAAGTTTATTAATGCAAGACTTAGACAAATAACTTACTTTAACACAACAAATCACTCTTTTATATAAAGTTTCATATTTCTTTACTTTATTGGTAACTTTTCTCTTATTATTCTTTACTTTGTTACAATCCTTTGTTAGTATTAAAATTCACCAACTAATAGATATTTTTGTAATTTGTGAAAAGAAACACTTTTTTCCAATCTTTTGCTTTTTTGTTATCTTCATTTTTTTTCCATAATTTTAGTCTAATTTGATCATCTAAATGAACTTTTAGCTTTAATATGATGGAAAAATACCTATTTAAAAAAAAGTATAACTTTAATATAGTTCAACATCTCTTATATTTTATCAAATAAAATTACATGTCTTCTTATATACTGTCTTTAGCTGACAAAATTGCAAAATTTTTCTTATTAGCTAACTATCTATAATCATTAGATATATCTAAAAGATCACATGTTGTTCTAATAAGTTTTTATGAATAAACTAAATTCTCATGTCAACGATATTTATTGTGTTTGAAGGTAAGTAAGTACTAAAAAATAATTTCGAACATTGAATAGGTACATTAATTGAATCAGATCTTTGCATATAATTGGATTTATTCCTTAAAATTTGATGCTAACCCAAATTACAATGGGCATGTTATTATTTAAACTAAACCAAATATGAACCAAACTGCATTTTGGTGTTTGGTTTGAATTAAATTTATCGGGTCGTTGGGTATGTGAGTTGGCTGACGACTAATGCCCTGTTATCTTTCCATTAGCTGCACACATCATAACTAATGCTTGTTAGTAAACTAATAGCTAATGCCCATTAGAGTGGGTTAAGATGACTTGAGGTATATTACAAATTCATCTTTAAAATATATCGAACCTATTCTTTAAAATTTAAATCCATAAAAATTAACTTGGGATCAAGCTGAGTAAGGAATCATGAAGATGGTTTTCTAAGACATCACATGTACTGTCATTTTTTTTATGTTGAATCAACTTAATTGTTTAAATTTATGCCAACAGTATTGCCTGTAATACAAGATTTATTACAAAAGAAAATGTTTTGGAGACACAGTTATGGAAATATATACATTTAAAAAAATAATAATAAAATGAAAAAAGAAATAGTAGATATAAAATGTAATATAATATGATAAAAAGAAATTAAAAATATTAAATAATTGCTAACACTATTATTTTGTTTAAAGATAGGACATTATGAAGTGTCGTAAAGTCTAAAAGGTCCCAAAAAAATTCTCGTTTGTAATTCATATTCAACTGAACTTGTACATAAAAATTTGTGTCTATTCAAGTGAATTTGTATATAATAGAACTTGAACATGACCTATCATGTTTAATCCCAGAGAAGAATTAAAAAGATACTTTATCTAAGATGTCATCCGTTGTTAGCTGAAATTTAAGACTATAAAAGATAAAAATTATTAGATAGTTTTTAATAAATTTTATTAATAATAAAAAAGTACATTAAAAATTAACGTTTTTTAACACTGCATGATTGATTATGAATCATAGTTCTTGATGAAAATTCACCGATGGCGAAGTGCTGGGAAGATAATGGAAGACAAAAACGTCGTACTCCTCGATAGCATCTCCTGTGGTGTGATCGAAAGCGTGAGTCTTGGCCTGAGCAAACCCACGTGCGAACCGAAAATCTCCGGTGCCACCAAGGATGGGCATCTCCCTGACGGGGTAATTAATAACGTTTCGCCCCAACACACTGAGGCTGCTACCCTTATACTTGCCTTCCGTGAACGCAAAAGTCATAGCCATGGTTAGCCCCGCTTCCATTTCGGGTCCTTCCCTGGACGAAGACACGTACAACCCTTGTGCCTTTCCCACGCTTTCGGACTCAGGTTCGGGCCCCACGGTCAATTGGTTCTCGATGGTCACCACCGTTCCGAATGGGAGGGATGAGTTTGACTTACCCTTAAGGGGCTCCGCTACAGTCACCGATGTGCGGTTCGGTCCAATGACTATGTCGTGGAAATAGAAGTGAAGGTGGCTCAGCTTCTCCTCGTGGAACCCGACAGATGCTGGTGAGATTCTTCGAGAGTAACTTGAAGCTTTTGCGGTTATGTGGGAGGAGAAGAGGATGGAAACACACAGAGTGAGTGGAATAAAGAATGTGGAGAAGGGGGTTCTGGATTTTGCCATAACACCAAGCATGATACTCCTGCTTACTGGTCTATCAGAAAAATGAGTTATGTTATGGAATGTTTCATACTCTATATTTATAAGAAAACTGTGTATTATTTTTAATATATTTCTTAAATTAATATAATATGATAAAGACGTAATAATGTGAAAATATTATTTTTCTTATTTTAAGAAATTTTTTTCTTATTTTTTTAAAAAAAATTCAGTATAAGAAGAAGATCATATCCTATATACATATAAAAAACTTGCATTGCATCTGCTTACACCTATTTCTTTTATTTCAATTAGGTATCTAGATATTTTTAAATCAATTTTTTATACAATTAGATTTGAAAAAACTTATAAAAATGAATAAATTTTTTATTATAAATTAAAAATAACTAATATTTTCCATTTTTATAAAAATTAAACGAAAGAATTTCTTAAAATAAAATAAAACATAAGATAGAAAAATTTTATAATTTTTTATATTATTTTTTTAAACAAAATTTTCGGAGAAAAATTTTATTTTTCTCCAAATATTCAGTAAGATACAATGCAAGTCTTCGGAGAAAGTCCTACTAACTGGTATATCTTTTTTAGTTTTACTTTCATTTTAATTACATGTCTTATCGTAGACATTTTCAAATCAAGTTTTTTTAAACAATTAATGTAAGCAGGGTGCAATGCTAGTGTTCAGAGAAAGTCTTATAACTAATTTGATTTTAAATTTTGTTATCATGTCATTTATAATATATATATATATATATACCTTTATTTATCTTCTTTTTTTTATTTATATTTTCCACCCATTTCACACTTATTTTATAATTTAAAATGATCATTTTCCAAATCTTAATATCAACTAATCAAATAAAGAAATATTATTTATATTAATTTCTTACAACATTATTTATTATTTTATTTCTTTCTATTGTATCATTTATTTCAACTTAAAATTTTCTGTCTTGTCTTCCAACCTCTTTCATAATGATAATATCGGTCGTCAAAAGGTACGGGGTTGTTCGTGAAAGTGCATTCATCAATCAAAATATGTACATCATCTCAGTTTCCTTTTCTATTTTGGCAACTCCTATACGAAAGGAAAAGTTAAAACATATTAAAATCATTCAACACAATATATTTAAAAATTCTGGATGTGTGGAGTTTCTTGAAACATTGGACAAGGTGTATAAATAATAGTAACGATTCTTGTATGTTGCATTGTATATCACTGAAAAAATCACTTATTAATGGCTACTTGGCTACTCGCTGGGTTGTTTGTATTACTATAATTTTGTCAAATAAGATTAAAATATTGACAATATGCGAAAAAAGATAACTATAAAATGGATTATAAATTTTTAGTCAACTTATCACATTGTAAATTATGAGTTAAGTTAAAAACAAAAAAATCACAAAATTCTTATGTGTTTTATTCTTAATCCAACTCAGCTATATTTCATAAGTTAGGTTGAGTCAATTCATAACATATGGTAAGATCAAATTGATTTATAAGTTAAAATAATTAGATAAATATAAATAAATTAAGTTTAAAAAAATTCATTCACAAACTTTTCATGTGTTTTTTTAATCCAACTCACCTAATTCACAAGTTAGGTTGAGTCAACTCACAGCATATGGTAAGTTAAGTTAATTTATGAGTTAAAAAAGTTAGTTAATTATAAATGAGTTAAATTAAAAAATTTGATTCACAAAATTCTCATGTAATTTCTATTAATCCAATTTATATACATATTATGAAATTTTTATTTAATAAATTTATTCATTAAATAAACAGATTGATTTAAATTAGCAATTTTTAACTCATCACAAAAGTGAATCAAATTTGTTTAACCTAAATTATAATAGCCTAATACAAGTTAACCTTAAAATATACTTTTAAACTGAATCTTAAAATATACTTCTAACCTTGACTTATAAATTCTTGAGGTAAAATTTTAATTTTAATTAAATAAATAGCACTTTAAATATTTAAGATACTGTACTTACATTTTTTTCTCATAAAAAATATTTTTTTAACTAAGAAATCTTTTAAAAATGAATTTTATTAAAGTTAATTTATTTTTATTTATTTATTTTAAATTTTATGAATATACTACTAAAAAATTAACTTACAAGTAATTCATAAAATTGTTAAATATTTATTTAAAAACTTTTTTTTTTTTACTTTCCCTTTTAATTAAATTTTAAGTTTTGAAAAGGACAAGTTAAATAATATCAAAGTGATGTATGAGAGGGTGGAGAGGAGCTATTCTTGACCAGGTGAATGATGAAAATGAACTCTTATTATGTACAAGAAATATTATAGACATTTAATTAGCAGCTAAGGTCACTCCAAAGACTTTTGTATCTTAGCTTTCTTAATTTCTTCCTTGTTTCGCTCATTGACGATTCACACTCCTTTTCTTTATTCTGTTTACTCTTCTCTTCTTTTCTCGCGTCACATAACAAATAAAATAAAACAGGAGGAACAGATTTAGAATAAAAATTTTATTCTGTGAAATATTTATTTGAAAATAAAAAAATAAAGAGATTAAATAAAAGATCATAATTTTTAAAGAACAAAAAACTTAATTAAATCAAATAAATCTTGTAGCAAAAACTTAATTATTTCAATACATATTAAAATTTGATTAAGAGTAGTGTTAGAAATACATTTTTAATATATTATTTATTATGAATTAAATTTTTTAAATTATAAAATTAAGAGTAAGATTTACATAAATTTTAATAAATTTTCTTTAATAATAAAGAATATGTTGGTAACCCTTCTCTCTAAAATTAATTAAATTTAATTGTACTACACAAAACTTGCTCTCCATTAGTCCAAGTATAATAGCCAACATGGTAAGTAACTATAGTTTTGAAAATTAAATCGACGAATTTGACCAGTTAGATTGAAATTCAAAAATTGGTTAAATAAACTAAAATCGAGTATGAACAATTATTAGTAAATCAGTCTGAACTTGTTTTCATAATTTTTTATTTTTAAATTATTTTTAAAATAAATAAAGTCTCCTACAAGATATGTGTATATACAAATTGGTATTATTTAATTTTATTATAATTTTTTATCTTATAAAACATTCAATACAATCATTTTATATTAATTTTAAATTTTACTTAACTTTATTATTTTTACAATTTAACATATTATATAATATTAAATTTATTATTTAATTTTTATTGAGTGGACTTTAATTAAATCATTGACTCTTAAACCAGTTTCTTCACTAATCCAATCGGGTGATCCAATTTAAAAAACATTATTTTAAGTAAAAGTACTTACAACTTACAAGTTGAATAGAGATATGATCAACTCGGGTTTACTTGAGGCAACGCAAGTTAGTTTGAATTTTCTAATAAAATTAGTAAGTATTAAACTTGATTAGTTTACATCAACTATTAAGTTTAAAATTTTAAACTCGTTAATGAAAATATTACAATATTTTTTAATGTACTCCAACTAAAATATAATTAAATGAATTATAGGATTGCTTATCTAAATACTTAATTTATTTAAGTTTTGATATACATGTATAACTATTTAACTGATATTACATGATTTAATAATTATCGTAAGCATTACACAAACTTAAATATAGGTAGATTAAGAATATGAATTAAGCGAGGCAGGTGCAGATATAATCCTTTCCTTATGTTCTTCCTCATTTATATTGGTGGATATCACTGCGTATAGTAAGTATCTATGAATATTTATAAATTTAAAAAATTAATACTGTATAAAATTATATAATATCATATTATATTAACATCATGTAATGTGATTATTTGCTTATATACGAAAAATATTATTGGAAAAATACCGAAAAAATATTATCTCAAAATAAAAAAAAAATCCCAAACATATAATAATATTTAATAAAAAAATTAATAATATAACTGTTAGTATCCGTGAGACAGGTATTAGGATACCTATATTCACTCGTTTAAAATCTCTCTCCTATGTTACAAATAATCTATATAAATACTGATATATATTTTACGATCCCTAAGATGGATCAAAATATATAAGAGAAATGTTGCTTTCACACCCCATTTCCTTTCCATTAGTCGTGTACATCACATCATCATGCCTTATCTTTCTCTTTTTTTATCGCAGTACTTGTTCAATAGTCAACATTGCCAAATATAACATCTTAAAAAAGACAGCTCCCAATATAAATTATTTGAGTGGCAATGATTTAGCTCAAAGACTAAAATTATTGATATGACAAAAGGTTTATTGATTCAATCCGATTCAAAGTTTTAAAAGGAGTGAGTTTGGGAGGTTGGTCTATGGAATTATTCTCCACTCACTTGCAGTCTAATTGGTGAGTTTATGTGTATCTCGTTTTAATCGCTGAAGTGAACTAAAACTGGTGACAAATTTTAGTACTAACTCGTACACGGCATGCTTATTAAAAAAAAGTTACATTTTGCTAAGTATAGGGTCTGTCATGAACTGAAGACCCTCGTTAAAAGGCTCCTGAGAGGAGGATGAGTAATGGAACACGTAGACGTTGTACTCAACAGTAGCATCACCTTTTTGGTAATCGACCTTGACACTCTTAGCTTCAACAAACCCACGAGCGAAGCGAAAAGCCCCTGTTCCGCCAATAATAGGCATCTCTCTCACCTCATCGAAGATGCTGTTTCTCCCCAACACACTCAGAGTGCTCCCATTGTATTCCCCTTCTATGAAAGCAAAGGTCATCCCCATAACTATCTCCAATTCCAGACCCTCCTTTTGGGCCGCAGATATGTAAAACCCTTGGGCCTTTCCCACCTGTTTGGACTCCAGCTCAGGCCCAATTGTTAAACGGTCCTCGAGCACCACCATGGATCCAAATGGTAGGGGAGAGTTCGACTTACCCTTGAGGGGCTCAGCGGCCATGATGAGGGAGGGGGTTGGGCCCGTAACAACTTCATGGAAGTAGAAGTGAATGTGTGTCAGCTTCTCCTCACGGAAACCCAGATACGTTGGAGAGATGTTGCGGTAGTAAGTGGCGCTGGCGGTGGACAAGAAAATGAAAGTGAGGGTTATGGGAATGATGAAAGTGGGTAAGAAAGTTTTGGAGTTGTCCATAGTGCTTAATAATATTTTGATAATTCACTGAAGAGATGATTCTATTTATAACATGTTTAGATGTCGTAATTGATTAGGAATAAAGTTAAAATACTTTTTATTTTTACAAGGATTGAGATAGTCTTCTCTTTATAAGTTAACTTTTGAAAATAAGTTAGACTCAAATTTTTTAACATATTATTAGAGTCTATTCAATTTTAATATTGAATTGTTCATAAATATTTAGTCATATTGGGTACACTCAAGCATATTTGTATACTAGACATGAGAGAAGACAAAATATTTAGTCTGGTTGAGTTGAACATTAGACATGAGAGAGGACAAATGTCTAGTTCTGTTAAATTTAGTAGTACAGATTTATATATTAAACGTAAGATGTATTAAGATATCACACCTTGGTTAAGAATAAAATACTCTTAGTAACTATTATATAGATACCCGCACTCAAACTATAGTTTAATTCAAAATTAAATTGATTGAAATGATTAATTAATCTTAAGTCCAAGCTCTGTTAATTGATTGCCTTTTCTTTTCTCGTTGCTAGCTAGGGTGGGATAAGCCTCTGCTAGATGTTCATTGAGCTACATGCTTGGAAATAATTAAATATAATGAATAATTGTGCGTTTTCAAATTTTTAAACATATTTTTAATTAAGCTTACGTCTGCTCAATAACCTACTGAGCTACGTAGACTAACCCCCAAGGGAAGGGGGAAGGGGGATGATTAAAAAACATAATGTATTGGTACTTCTTACCACTTAAGTTATCTTAAATCTCGATCTTAATAATTGCGAAATGCATGTGTAAAACTATGAAAAACAAGAATGGGCAGAGAGCACAATCGTGACAGGAAATTACCATTTTAATTAGCATGGCAGGTGATATTAATTTTTAAACTAAGTATGATTGTTTCCTAGATTCTAATTATGTAATTATTGATCACGTTTGCTCTTACTGTGATCCAAATATTAGTACAACTTAGATGTGTTGAGTTAGCATGTTAAATGTCATTTAGATGGCACACTAAATTTAATTGAGAATTTTTTTAAAACCAACTAATTTACTCCCTGTAACACTAAATAAAAATAAATTAAAACTATTTTTCTTTCACCCTTCGTTGTTTACATTTTTTTTTCTCTTCCCCTTTTTAATTGGGTTAGCATTTTCTTTTAATTTCTGCTATTGTTGCTTGTACGCTACAAACAGATATTTAAAATATCCAATGCATTTCAAAATATTTGTTTTATTATTTTTATCCAAGTTATTTTTTAAAAAATCAAAAGGTATACATTTTATTTGCTTTATTATCCATATGAATTCTTAGGTTAATAGATATATGTTTAACATTTAAATAATATTATTAATGTTGTTATAACACACACATATATAAATTTATATAAGTCTTAATTGGCAAAATTCGGGGAAAGCTACAAAGAGGAAAATTTTATTAGTTTGTTTTTTCGGAATTTTCAACAACTAACTAGAATCGTATAAAACGTTTAGCAATTTGGGAAAGCTAAAAAAAAGTTTTGTGAAAATATTCGTTGAATTCTAGGCATCTAGTTGAAAAATTGTAAAATTACTATGTATTTATTTCTGCTCATGTCTCAGATTTTATATGTAGAAAAAGATTTATTGTAATTCCACGTAAAAGAATCTTGACAAATAAATCACATCAGAAAAATTAGCTATCCTAGTAAAGAGTCAGACCTTATAAATATTTTACTTTGGAATCTTATATTTTTAATATGAGACTCAAATCTTATATCTTGTAATTGATTGTGTACTAGTTCATTAACTATTTTTGAGCCAACACTATAATAATTGTGTCACCATCTGTGCTACTCGATTGCCATTGAAAGTTTAAGAGAGTCATATCAGAAAAAATAGTCATAGTTGTAGAATTCAAAATATCGTGCAATCTCATACTTTCAATCTATGGTTCGAGCCTTATATCTTGTAATTGAATCCTAACGTAACACTTATCGTACATTTTTTTTTCTACTACAATTCGTTGCAATTTTAATCAAAAGAAAAAAAGGTTGCATAGAATCGTAAAAAAAATACTTTCTAAGTGTAATAAGATAACATAATATATATAGCTTTTGTTATTTTAGTATGCTTCAAATGTTAGGATAAGAATTTACTTTATTTTTTCCTTCTCATGTCTTATTCAACTTTCATGTCATATTATTTTTTGTCTACTTAAAAAGATCCTAAAATAATTTAATGATTGCAAAAAACTATAAAGACAAAAGATGAGATAAAATATTAAAATATAATTTACGGTTATTTAAACAAAATTAAAATTAAAAAGATATGAATATGTTGTTCTTTAAAAAAATTTAAAATTAATTTTTTTATAAATATTCTTTAATTTATTATATAAAGATATGTTGGGTAAAGAAAAAAAGAAACATTACCTTTACCCCTTAAGAATTACCCTTCTAAAAGAAAAATAAGATAAAAAATAATTACAAAAGAATATAACTTGAAAACATCAAAAATTGAAGAAAATCTAATGGCAACCAGAGAATAACATTATGTGAAAATTTTACAACGCATAAACTATTCTTTTTTGAGCCAATTACACCTATACTCTATAAAGAAAGTAATTAAACTAAATCTCACAATACTCTAATACAAAAGTATAAGAAAAGTAAAATACAAGCTTAAAGTGTTTTTGAGTGGGATGCCTCAATACCATGAACTTAGGTCCATTATATAGCCTTGTTCACTCATTCTCTTGTTCATCCCAGGCAATGTGAGATATATTCCAATATACCTTGAACAATGTGAGATTTTCAATATGTACTATTTTCATCAATCCTAACAATCTTCATTATGATTAAAATAGATACATCTTCTGTTTTCATTGCCTACTCTAGTAATCACATCATTGTTTATACTGACAACCATACTCTACCATAAAAAGTATACTCACTTGGAATTAAACCACTATAAGAATTTTCTTTTGCCGCACACCTTGCATCAATGTCAACCAATGCTCATGTACACTTATTACACACCTTGCATCAATGCCAACAAATGCTTGTATACACTTACCGCACACCCTGCATCAATGTTAACCAATGCCATGTACAATTATCACACACCTTGCATCAATGCTAACCAATGTCCATGTATAATTATCGCACACCCTGCATCAACATTAACCAACTCCCGTATACAATTGTGGATTCACTAGGAAAAAACTTATCTTTTTCCATGGCAATGCGGATATGCCATAAGGATACACAACTCATCTTTTTAAAAAAAATAACAAATCATCCTCCCTAGAAATGAGAGAGATAGTAGGAGCATCTAACTTGGAGTTTCTTTCCGATACTCCTCCACTTGGACAATTTTTCTTAACATGTCTAGACTTTTCACATTTCCAGCATACCATAGTCTTTCTATGGTTCTTCTTTCCATAAGGCCCACTTCTGACAACCATCATTGTGTTTATTGACATGTATTCGTCACTTTTCATTCTCCTTTTTTCAGAAAGAATCTTATTAGCAACTTCATCAAAGCTAAAAGTTTCCTTGCCATACATCAGAATAGGCTTTATAAACTCATAGGAAGACAAATGAGACCAAATGAGTCTTAATGTTATATCTTCATCTTCAATCTTAACTCCAATAGCCTCTAATTCAGCGACAATCCCATTAAGTTTACTAAGATGATCAGGGACCTTCATATCAACATCCATGCATAAATTATGAAATTGCTCATTCAATAACATCCGATTTGAGATGCCCTTTGCTTGATATAAGCCTTCAAGTTTCTCCCAAAGTTCCTTAGCCGTCGACATCTTCTGCACGTTTGCAAGAACATTCTTAGCTAAACATAATTGAATTGCATTTGTAGCTCTAAAATCTAGTTCCTCCCACTTCTCTTCCTCCATGCTGGAAGTATTTCCTTTCAACTCCTTGTGTAATCCAGATTGTATCAGCACATCCTTGACTTGTGTTTGCCACAAGCCAAAATTGATCCTACCATCAAATTTCTCTATGTCACACTTGATAGCACTTGGAAATGACATTGAAACACTTCAGTAACCAAGGATGATTTTCCAACAACAAGGAATTAATCTTTTCTGATGTAAAAGATCGGACTAAGCTGCAACCACAAAGTATATTAAGAATATCCTACCGAACCATAAGCTCTGATACCACTGTGGGGTAAAGAAGAAAAGAAACACCACCTTTACCCCTTGAGAATTATCCTTCTAACAGAGAAATAAGATAAAAATAATCACACAACCATAGAATAATACTATGTAAAAAATTTACAATGCATAGACTATTTTTCCTTACCCCCAATTACACCCACACTTTCCAAAACAAGTAATTAAATTAAACCTTACAATACTCTAATACAAAAGTATAAGAAAAGAAAATACAAGCTTAAAATGTTTCTGATTAGAGTCCCTTGATATCATGGACTCAAGTCCATTATATAGCTTTATTCACCTACTCTCTTATTTATTCCAAGCGAAGTGAGACTTCTTTCAATATACCTTAAACAACGTAAAAATTTTAATATATTCTATTTTCATCAATCCAACAAGATAGATTACTTGTTCAAATTTAGTTAACAATTATTCCATCTATAATTTTTATTCTCGTACAACACAAATATGCAAATGTAGCAACAACTCTCTAAAATATGTTTTAATAAAACATAGAACTAAAAAAAAGAGACTGAGAAGGAAAGAGAATATTTTTTAACCTCCTGTATGTCAAACTTTAAAAGCTAGTTAGATTCACCTCTCCAAGTTAACCTTGCTCCTTTTAACGGATGAACTCTAAACTACAGTAAGCGTCTTTTTAAAAGTAATTGTACGAGTCTATAAGATAGAAAGGATATGGCTATTTTAAAGTAAATTTGTTTATAAAGTAAAAAAAAAAAAAAGTATTATTTTATTTAAAGTATTTGACAATAATAATACATACAGATTTAAGGGTGAAAGCTTTTTAAAAAAAATTATTTTAGGTATGTTTGACAGTTAAATTTTATAATAGAAGGAAGGAGAGGATACTTTTTCATTTTTAATTAAAATGTTCTAGTTTCATGATATATTTTAAAATAAAAGTCATAAAATATTAAATCCTCTCAAAATACCGAAACTTATTTTCATAATATATATATATTGAATGTTTATGGAGTTTAAATGCGAGAAAGTTACAAGCACGTAATCATAATAGCATTTTTATTATGTCAAAAAGAGATATTACAATGTTTAAGATAGTAAAGGTTATAATAGAGATAATTGGAGACTTCTAAAACAGTTTCCGTATGAAGTAAATTATAATTTAAACATTTCACAACATTTTTCTGTCTTAAACACTAATTTTTGCCTGAAACTCTTTGATTCTATGATCACCTTCTAGGATTCTACCACTTTTTCCCTTTGGTGCCAAAATCCTTAGGCAAAATGTCAATATTCTAAAATAAGGCAGGACCAAAGTGAGTGGACCTAGTTTGGCTAGTGCTTAGTAGAGTGAATTTCACAACTTAGAGAGTAGATCTCAACTCAATTTAATCCAAAACTCTGCCTTTATTACTTTGGAACAAATTCTTCTCACAAATTTATTTAATTTACGATCTTCATACAAAAAGTATTTAGATCTTTAAATTTTAAAAATATTCACCATTTTATGCTTTAAATAAATTTAAAATTCATTAAGAATATGTATACTTAGGGTGGAAAACCTCCGGAGTGATTCGAAAGTTGCTTCTATAAAATTTGGACGTAACTTATCAAGGTTAATTAATTCAATTTTATAATGTAAATTTTAAATCTTTAAAATTAATATTATATATAATATCATATATTATTTATTTATTATTATGATACATCCAAAAATATATTTTAAATATAAAAAAACATTTAAAAGTGTCCCATTTAATATTGTAAAATTATTATTAGTTTATTATTCCACGATCGAGTTGGAGTTTTTGTTTTTCTAGGGGGTTGTTGGCCGTTGACTAAAAGGCATAACTTCACTTCCGGGTTATCATGTGGTCAATCACACGTGTCTTGACATATAACAATTATTCATGACAGCAAAGTTGATTTTTATGGAAGCTTATACTTTGATTTAGTACAGAGTCCAAAGTAAATTTAATTTGTAGTTATGGCTTGCATTAATTTAGGGTTAAATATATATTTCTTTTTAGTCCCAAAATTTTGGTTTTTTATTTTAATCCTTATTTTTCAAAATTTTAATATTTATGTGATCCAACAACAAAAAATATGTGATATAAAAATTAGTGCATGACAACTATCTTTAGCATAAAAAATTGAATTTATAAAATTAATGAAAAAGATGAGACTAATACAATTATAAGTAATTAATTTAATTGTTACTCTGACATGACCGTTAATTAATTTATAAAATAATCACACAACAAAAAGATGAGACTAATACAAATTATAACCGTTAATCTAAAAAATATATAGAATATTTTTTCAAGTTTACAAGTAATATAACAAACACTTAAAAAAAATTAAAAATAATTGCATAAAAATTTATAACAAAAATATTACAATTTTTTGTTGAGATTGAAAATGGCAAAATCTGTGCTTTTGTGTTTCTCATTTTTCAGTTTTGAAAATAGTTCTATAACATAATTTTATTAGAAACTAGCTAGTCCTGTAAGTGTTAAATCATTATATCAATTTTTTTCTTTTGTAAACTACTAGCTTCGCTAGTTTGATAAGTAGATACTGTCATGTGATTTTATAGTGTATATACACACATATTATATATATATATATATATATATATATATATATATATATTAGTGAAAAAAATAAATAAAACAACTATATATTTTTCTCGAATCAAACAGACCTTAATGAAATTTCTTTTTTTTCTTTTTTTACCTTTTCACGTTTAATCAACAATTAGATAAGGCAGTATATTGTAGGGATTAGATATCTCGAGTTTTCTTCTTAGTATATTTTAAAGCCTAAGCAAATTAGGACAATTTACTCCTTGAGAATTATCAGAAAATAAAGCTTTAACACTATTAGCTACAAAGCCAGAACTAATTTAAAAATTCTTCTTTTAAGCATAAATTAATTGGTACTTTTTAAATTTAAACTTACTTTGGATTAACCTCTAACATGAGAGAGCTAATTCATTTTGAAGTTCCCTACTTCCATTTTTTTTTAATTTTCTTTCATTTTATAAGTAATGTTTTTGAGAAAAGTTTATGATATATATATATATACCCACTTTAGATTAGTTTTTAAATTACAAGGAAATTTTAATTAAATAGTTTATAAAACAACTTTCTAAAGTCAAAGTTTTCAGAAAAGTTAGTAAAAGAATTAACAATACCTTTTGAAAAAGTTAAGTGTATAAATTAATTTTATTTTATGTATGAATTTTGAATCATTTCGCCTTATTAATTTGTTTTATTTTCTGTCTTTATATGTATTTGTTAAAAATATTATCCAAACTCAAATTTTAAATAGCTTTTTTAACAGTATTCTTTTTGTTTAGCCACCCCAATATTAGTCTAGTTCCACTACTGCACCCATAATAATCTATATGGCTTAAACTAGATATTGATTAAAGGTCTAGTGTGATATCCAAATATTGATGTCTCACACAAAAGGAAAACATCTAAAATTGATTCATAACATAACTATTATTTCTAGCATCATTTTCGTGTACAGCATTTGTACATGGGCACGATGTTTCATAAGTTTTAGGAATAACATCGCCCAACATAAGTTATTTAAGTGCAACATACTTAGCAAATCTATGCCACTTACATTACAACATTAACTGAAATTTAGCACATAAAAACGTGTTTATTTTAAAAATAGTTTTCTGTTTTTAAAAATAAAATATAATATATATTTATATTAAATTTTATTTTAAAAAACAGAAAACTATTTTTAAAATAAAATCAAACATGTCTTTGAAATTGTTCTCCACATTCTGTGTTTCCTGAACTTATTTATACGTGTGAATCAGTTTAGAAATTTATAAAACTTTGCACTACATTTCTGTATACCATTCTAGTCACGAAAGTGACTATAATAGCTTGGCACAAGTTTTATAAATTTAAGTAACAATTCACACACCTAATTAAAATGGAGCAATTAACAGAACCCGAAGTGAAACATAGTTCTAAAAACGTAACTAAAAATTCTGTATTCTGTTAAGAACAGGGTCTGTCATGAACTCGACTCCGTCGTTAAAACCCTGCAGAGACAATGATGAATAATGGAACACAAACACGTTGTATTCGACAACAGCATCTCCTGTTGAGTGCTCCACGTGGATAGTCCTAGCTTGAGTAAAACCACGTGCGAACCGGAAGGAACCGGTTCCACCAACAATAGGCATTTCCCTCACAGCAGAGGAAATGGGGTTTCGGCCCAACACGCTGAGGGTGCTGCCGTTATATTCCCCATCTGTGAATGCAAAGGTCATCCCCATGACAAGTTCTAAGTCGGTGCCCTCTTGATGGGCCGCGGATATGTAAAACCCTTGGGCCTTTCCCACCATTTTGGAGTCCAGTTTGGGCCCAACTGTTAATGGATCCTCAATCATAGCTAGGGACCCAAATGGTAGGGGAGACTTGGACTTACCTTTGAGAGGTTCAAGGGCAAAAACGAGGGAAGGGTTTGGGCTGCTAACAATTTCGTGGAAGTAGAAGTGAATGTGGGTGAGCTTCTCCTCACGGAAACCCAGATACGCTGGAGAGATATTTTGATAGTAACTGGCGGTGGCGAGTAAGGAGAATAGAAAAGTATGGAATAGGAGAAGCAGGAAAGTGAATAAGATGGTTTTAGAATTGGCCATGGTAATGGTGTATAGGAGAGGAAGTAAGAAAAGCTATTTGCTGATTCCTTTTTGGACACTATTCTATGAGGACAGTGGGTTCTATTTATAGCAAGTTGGAGATGTAGTCGCTTAAGATCCTTGTTTCTTAGTCCAATGATAAAAATCTGAATTCAAAATTAAATTGATTGAAGGAAAAGGAAAATACTGATTCAAATCATGTCCCAGGAACTCAATTGTGACATATCAATTAAATTAACCCCGTTAAATTTCACGTCTGCTTCCGTTACTTCACAATTGACATTTTCCTAGGGTCGCTCAATTGCAGTTCATTATGACCAGAACTGTCACTTCATACTGTCGCAAGTCTAGTAGTGGCTTTGTTCTTGCATTAATTTGTTCTAATTAATCAAGAATTGCTGCAAATAAACTAGTGCAGAACATAACAAGAATACAATTATCGGGTTCTAATTAAATTTTAGTTCTAAAAAGACACACGGAGAGGCAAATTATGTATTCTTCTTGTTTAGTATTTAAGTTATAGAAGCTATCTGTGTTCATACTTTTTTATTTTTGTTTTCAAGGTTTTAACCAAGAGGAGATAAACAGTGAAGGGAATGACACTACTCTCCCCGATCTCAAGGAAACGCTAATGATCAACGTAGGAGGAGGGATTGCTAAATTGAGAAACAAAAGCTTCGTCCCAGCATGAGGGAAAGGGTTCAACGTAAAAGGGAATAGTAACCACTTCTGAAATGGAGCCGTGAGACGTGAGGCGTTGCCCATGATTGACTCGGAAGCAATAATGCTTTCCAGTTTTTTTGACCTTACAAGTGAAAGCCATTTAACGGAGGCAAAACTCAAACGTGAAATTTGACCTGGTCAACTTAAATATCTCAGCATTTATTTGTTGGAGAGATTCTGGTTGGGATTCGGATGGCTTCAACTAAATGATCCGTACGGGTATGTCTGGAGGAAATTTTTTAAGAAGAAAACGGTGAGCATATTTTTTAATTTTAAATTAAATATTTATATATTATTTATAATAACAAATATATTATTAATATATTAAATTTTTGTTGATATATTAATTTATATTTTTTATTTTTAAAAAATATTAATTTTAAATATATTAATATTAATTTATACCTTTTCTTTCCGTCCAAAATTTCCCTTCTTAAATAACTCTTAAATGTCTGAAAATAATTTAAGATTTTAGTGAGAGTACGTCATGAGAGGTGAGTTTTGGTAGAAGAAATATTTGATATTTTTTAATTTTAAATTAAAAATTATATATTATTTATTATTAAAAATTTATAATTAATATATTAAATTTATATTAATATATTAATTTATATTTTTTATTTTTAAAAATATTAATTTTAAAAATATTTATTTATAATTTAAATTTTATCTTTTTTTCATAAAAACTTTTCTTTTCAAACAATCCTTAAACAAATTTATCATATGAAGTAGTTTAATCATACCAGTAAAAATTACACTCTTTCTTATATAGTTAATAGTTTAATATAAAAAAATATTTTATTAATCTTATCATTGAATTATAATTATATATTACATAAATTATTTGTGTCAATTTTAAAAAAATAAACATTTATACGATTATTATCAAATTTTTTATTTTATAAATTTTAATAATATATATTATATTAATTTATATATAAAATATCAAATAATTCTAAATTAATCTCAAATTGTGTACATATAATATATATTATTGTAACTTTTAATTTAATAATGTTTTATAATTAATTTATTTAATAAAAAATTATTAAATGATATAAGAGTAAGTATAACTTATATTAGTATAATTTAATTTTTATATATATATATATATATATATATATATATATATAAGCAAGATCTTCTTACATTGGTGTAAGTTTAAAAATTCTTACACTAAATCTGAACCTTTTATTTAACTTACATCTAATGGGTTATAATGAAATGTTCAGATTAGATGTAAGAGTTTTTAGACTTATACTGGTGTAAGAAAATTATTCTTCATATATATATATATACGGGTAGGATCTTTTTATACTCATGTAAGTTTAAAAAAACTTTTACACTAAATCTGAACATTTTATTTAACTTATATTTAAAGGGATATAATTTATTATTTTACTAACCGTTAGATGTAAGTTAAATGAAAGGTTCAGATTAAATATAAGAGTTTTTAGAATTATACTAGTGTAAATATATATATATATATATATATATATATTATTTTTTCTTATACTAATATAAGCTTAAAAGTTTTTATACCTAATTTGAGTCTTTTATTTAATTTAAATCTAATAAATTATAATTTATTATTTTACTATTTATTAGATTTAAGTTAAAAGAAAGACTCAAATTGTAAAAAGATCTTTCTCTATATATAAATATATATTAATTTAAATTTAATAAATTATAATTTATTATTTTACTAGCTATTAAATTTAAATTAAAAAAATTAAATTAAATATAAAATTTTTTAAAATTTATTATGGTATAAAAAGATCTATCTTATTATTTTATTAAAATTAATTATATTAAACTCGAAACTGACTGAGAAAGGTTGAGAGGGCAACTAACGCACGTAAAACCACGCGAAATAGAGGAGAAATATAGCGTGGGTTAGATTACAATCCCATTGCAAGTCAACGAGTAGGGTTTTTTATTTTCAAACAAGAACTTAGCTTTAATGACTATTCCAATGTTTGAAAAATGTGGTTTTGGATTTGTTTTAAACGTCACTTCTTGGACAACTGGAGGTCAAGCACACAACTCTTGAATTATAATAAAGTTTAAGTTGACTCATAGGCTTTTTCGTAAAAATAGCTATCAATAAAGTTTAAGTTGACTGTTACTTTTAAGGTCGGGTCATGTAAAGTAATATTCGACGGCGCATAAGCAAGGCACTGATGAGACGTTATGCAATAGAAAAAGATAAATAAAATAAAATAAAGAATATTAAAAGTATGTTTGTTTTTTAAAAACAAACATGCTATAAATGTGTTTAACTTTTTTTTAATATTAAAACTAAAATTTTATTGAATTAACAAAATATTAAAGGGGTCTTGATTATAATATTTTATTTATTAAAAAATTATAAAAATATTTGATAAAATTGTTTTGGATTTTATTTTTCTTTTTTTATGAGAAACTCTTATAGCATTATATTGGCACTTATCTTGACAATATTTTAAAAAATTAATATTATTTACATTTAGTATATGTATATTTTATTATAATATCCATTATTGAAATTATATTTTTTAACAACATAAATTTATAAACTTTTGAGCATGATCAAACTCTTAATAGAGTGATTATAATGATTTTTTTTAAAATAATATGTTTTAAGTAAATTGTGCAATATTTATTTCCATTTCTTGTTCTAAGTAGTTATTATGCTTTTATTAAGTCTGACTTACTTTTTATTTATTTGATATTTGTAAATTATTAAGTAGTGAAGTTGCAAATGATTGAAAATATCAATTCATCCTAATAAAATCTCCTTTGATAAGATCTTCATTGTTTCAGATAGACTTGATACTTTTTTGTTATATTTTAGACATTCTAAAGTTATTTAGTAGTTAAACTTTTTATTATAGATATGTATTAAATGTCTAGTTTTTATACTATAGTATTTTGGAGTTTGATTGATTTTTATTGAGTTATAAATCAATCTTAAGAGAGCATTATATTTTGAAATAAAAATACAAAATTTTTTTTACCAAAAATGTGGTAAATTTATCATATTATTTGATTAAAAATATTTATTATCTCATGTGTTAGTTTCTAAGTAGACTTGTCAGATTAAGTGATATTTATAAATAACTTAGCATGTACTTTAGTTATAAATTATTTTTGGATCATGACAAAAGATTAGTTAAAAGAAATTTTGAACACTTGCATGCTCATGCAAGTGTGATAATGATATTTTGATTTTTGTGAAATTTTAGGTTTAGAGTTTAGGTAAAAACATAGGATGAGCAAATGTTTAACTAAAAGAAGGAAGAGTTCATGTGCAATTTTGACAAATAGGTTCTAGGTCTATCTTTAGTGCAATTTTAAATTAAAATGTTAAGTTACATATGAAAAGGAGTAACGAGACCAAATTCGTCAAAAGGGTTTATGTTTCTAAAAGCGAATACAATATAATGTCAAAGCTTAGTTTAGGGAATTACACTATATAGAAAGCATACCAAGCTTAAGAGAGCAAATTAAGTCTAAAGTGATATAAAATATGAAAAAAATTTCCCTTCCTTATCTATCATAAAGCCATCATTCAAGGTATGAACATCTTATGCAATTTCAAAGTCCAAAATTTAACTAGTTTTAAAGCTTTATAATATTATGAATACAGAGGCGTCATCTTATCTCAGGTGCATGGATCCAATAAGCATCTTCAATACTTTATCTTTTATTAAAAACTTAAATAGTAATTAAATTTTATTCTCAAACATTAATTTTTAATAATAAAATTTTAAAAAAAAATTGGTTTGTTAGATTTTTCATTCGTTACGATTTGCTTTGAATTGAATCGATGAACACTCCTAAAAGTAAGTTTAACTAATATATTATTGAATCGATCAGTAGTGTCCCTGACAGTGATAGCCAATATATAATTTAGCAAGACAATCATCACGATGTTCCGCTGTAGTTCGCAACAAGGCACAAAGTAAGCATAGCTAGAGCAGGAATGAAAATGTTGATTAAAATGGGCTAATAAATAAATTTATTGGGAAAATTACAGTTGTTAATGAGTTGATTGGTTTGTAATTACAGAATAACAACTGTATATTTTCAATTTATTGGGAAAACAATAGGTCTGTAATTACAAAAAAAGATTTTTTTTTTCAATTTAAACAGACCTATTGCAGCATGTTTCTTTGTTCCTTTTCTCATCAAGACCACATCGAGTACATTTTGTCGAAAAACGGATAAGTTACTTTTGATTTAAAAGATTTCTCAAAAAAAATTTCTTCTTATATTTTATTAATTTTGTTACGTTTAGAAAATAAAATAAAGAGTATAGATATAGAGATGTTTATTTCTTTTTTTAAAGTTTCCTATCTCTCTCTGATTGCAGGCAATCGGCATTCAAAAAGGACAGCTTTTAATATAAAGAAGAGGTACCTTATTTCATTCACAAGGAAAGGGGAGAAAAAATAAATGAGTTTACTATTTTAGAATAATTAAATACATATATTAAGTTAAAGATAATTTTGTCTAATTAATTTAAAAGTTTCTCTCCCCTTCAAATATCTCATTTTTGGAGAGGAGTTATAATTGAATGAAGAGAGATTTCGACTTCCTTTCCTACCCTTATCTTCTTTTCTTCTGGATTAACATGAGTTTTAAGCATATGTTTAAACTCAGTTACAAACATGCTATAAACCAATAAACCTGTCGCAAGGTTCCCAAAATTGCAAACAGGAATATATATACCAATATCTGCAGTAACTAGCCCCCACATGGAATCCTCTTACATGAATAGCAATACAAGTACACATCATTTGTTGGTCAAGCAAATCATCGGACTGAGCAAGAGACCACACCATTCACCACTTACATTGGCGTCAGATCCACTACAAGCACCATACATTTTTCCCAAGACAAGGTTTTCGGTTTCAATTTTTACGGGAAGAGATATGGTCATACTCATACCATTGAAGACTATAACTAAAAGTCAGAGTCTTCCAATTTTGACAACAAAAATATTTCATCTAGTATTTTATAGATCTCCTCAGATTGAGGGTGTGATTCATCTGCCACCAAAAATTCTTTGAATTCACCATCTATGTCTATTAAGCTATGACCAGGAATCTTCTTCACACCCTTGTCTCTCATCAAACTACGCACTCTCTTCACATCACCCCATTTTCTCTCTTTAGCACAAATATTTGCCAACAGCACATAAATGCCACTGTCTTCTGGATCCAAGCTTAAAAGATGACGAGCCGACAATCTGGCCAACTTAACATTGCCGTGCATTCTACAAGCATTTAGAAGGGCACCCCAAGCAGCTTCACAAGGTTGCATTGGCATGTTTGTTATTAACTTGTAAGCTTCTTCCAGAAGCCCAGTTCGACCTAGTAGATCAATCATGCATGCATAATGTTCCTTTTTGGGTTTTATCCCATAGTTTCTTTCCATAGTATCAAAGTATTCTTGACCTTCAGAAATTAAACCACCATGACTGCAAGCTGTCAACAAGCTCACAAATGTAATGCCATCTGGCTTAAATCCCATATATCTCATCTCATCAAAAATGTAGATAGCGTGCTTTGCTTGACCATTGGCAGCATACCCTGCAATCATTGAATTCCAAGAAACCAGGTTTCTCTCCGGCATTCCACGGAAGACTTCTGCAGCTGCATCTATGCTTCCACATTTGGCATACATATCTATAATGGCATTTGCGAGAGTAACACTAAGGGGCATTCTTTTTTCATTGACAAAATACTGACAAATCCAATGACCCAAATTCAAGCAACTCAGCTGGCCACAAGCAGAGAGCACACTCACTAAGGTGTGCTCACCCGGAACCACACCCACCCCAACCATTTTGCGAAACAATTTCAACGATTCCTTGGGTTTGTTATTCTGAGAATATCCTGCAATTATTGCACTCCAGCAGACCACATTTTTCTGAGGAGTTTGATCAAAAAACCTCCTTGCAGACTCCAAGTCACCACATTTAGCATACCCATTAACCATGCTAGTCCATGAGAAAACATCCTTAGTTTCCATCCTGTCAAAAAGCTCCCTAGCAGCCATCAAACAACCACATTTCACATACATATCCAACAAGGCATTGTGTAAACTCAACCCACACCTTACATTCTTCTTCTCCACATTTTCATGAATGCTTTTCCCCATTTCAATGTCACCCTTCTGAGAACACGCGGAAAGCACCGCGATCAAAGTCACCTCATTGGGCTCAACATCACTCACCAACATCAAACTAAACAACCCCATAGCCGCATCTGAACAGTTATGGGCCGCATACCCGTCAATCATCGTGGTCCAAGTAACAACATCCCTGTCAGAACTTTCATCAAACACTTCACGCGCGTGCTTCAACCAACCACGATCAGCATAAAAATGAACCAACCCATTTCGCGCGATCAACTCAGAACCAAACCCCATTTTCCAACCTACGCAATGCACCGATTCCCCTTCAGAAGCCCTCAAAAACTTCTCGCACGCCTTGAGAGCGAAAACGAAGGTCCTGCAATCCATCGGAACGCGTCGTCGAAGCATACGGAGAAAGAACGAGAAAGCCAAGGTGGGAATTTGTGCCTTGATATAGCCACGAATCATGGTGTTCCACATATAGGTGTTGGGTTGGTGAAAGTGGTGGAAGAGAAGGTGAGCGTAGCGAATGTCACCGGCATCGGCGAGAGCGCAGAAAGCGATGACTCGGCTGAGAGGGAAGGTGTGCGTGATGAGGCCAGTGAGGGTCATGCGTGCTTGAATCTGCTTCAATTGTGGCATGGATGAACATGATTCCATGACGAGAAGAGTTGGGTGTGTGATCACCACGTTGGTTTTGGAGTTCCATTTTGGTTGGTTAGTAATGGTGGAACTAGAAACGGACGCGGACAGTGGTTTGCGGTGTTGGAGAAAGTACGAATACGATGATTTATGTTTGTGAGGAACGAGAATAAAGAGTTTTCTCATATGCCAACAGCTTGAGCGTTAGCATCGTTGCTAACGATACTTAAAGAGAACGTCGCTTATAAATTCTGACCACGAAGGAACTGCAGTTGTGGTAAAACCTTCCGTTTCTTATTATTTTATATCATACTCTTGTTAAATTTTTGTCTTAAAATATTTAACTAATTTCCACAAAGAAATGTTTATATAATTTTTACTATTTAAACATTTGAAAATGTATATCTTAAAAATGAAGAGACAAACATTTAGCGTTTAAATGTTTTCAATGTTATTTCTTGTGTTTTTTAGAGTGAAAAAATAATTAAATTTGAATTCACTGCAGTAATTACGTCATACACCTACGTTATTTTGTATTTTTGTTTAAATTATCACATTTTTACTTAAACAAAAATACAAAATTTTACCTATCCCTTGAATTAATATATTTTTTATTAAGTAAACATATAAAATTTTACTTAAATGCACGGTACAATTCTCACATAACACTGAATCTAAGTTTGAAATAATTAAAGTCAATTATGATACTGCTCCTAAAATTTAAATTTACATCAAACTTGTTATGATCTTTACTTAACCATTTGGAGCGAATATTTTTTAATGATTACATAAAAAGTATTTTTAAAAACAATATTTAATTTTATTTAGTATTTGTTAGAAAAATTAACTTAAATTTTTATTTTTATCTAAAAACTTATATTTTTTATTCATTTATTAGAAATGAACAACTTACTTAAAAGAAATTAATTTTTGAAACTTTTAATTTAAAGTTATTAACATATTCAGTTAAAATATTAATTACCATATAGACTTATTAATCTTATTCTATAACACAAATTTTATTCATAAAAAACCTAGGTTAAAAATGCACAAAATACAATGATTTAAATTATCTATTTTATTATTTTTTTATCCCATCTTATTTACTAAAAGATCCTTAAATATTTTTAAAAAAAGGAATACCTTATAGTATCAAAAAAATGAAAACAGTATTTTTAAAACAATAAATTCTTTATATTGCAAGCAACATAATTCAATTTTATAGACTAACAAATAATGTGTTTAAACGAAACATGTTCAAAAGGAGCCAAACAACAGAATTAGCGTTGGTTACAAGCCAAATCTTGAGCACCAAAAACTTTAACCATTATAAACCCCATCCCAACAGTAGAAAATTATCACATGTTCAATTAATTTAAATTTAATTAATTACAAGTTTATATATATATATATATATATTCATCATTTAATTTCATTCACTTTCTCTTTCCTCCCAAATCAAATAAAAAAGCCCTTCCATCTTTTAAAATTCCTCTTTCACTTTTTTTTCCTTCAAATTGTTTTTCATTATTCCATTTACTCATATTCAAACCAAATAATGCATAAATTAAGGCTCAACCAATTTTCTACTTTCAATAAGATGAAAAGTTGCAAGAACAAGTAGCAGTAACAATGGGTATAGAAAGTTTATGAAGAAGTAACGCAAAGTAGAGTGCAAAACAGTTAACTACTCTTCACAAAAGTAAGAGCTATACATAATGTAACTCTAATTCTAATCCCAAAACATCACACAGCCAGCCAAAACCACAACACAGAGAGTCATTGACTTGGATTTTGATGTTTGAGAAAGAGCAACAAAACCCAAAAGACTAAAACTCCTGACTAGCAGATCCAATTTCGCCTTTTCCCTTGCCGACCTTCTTCGGCAACAAATTCTGGTTGATGTTAGGCAGTACCCCTCCACTTGCAATTGTCACATGCCCCATCAACTTACTCAATTCTTCATCGTTCCTCACTGCAAGTTGAATGTGCCTCGGTATGATCCTCGTCTTCTTGTTATCCCTCGCCGCGTTTCCAGCAAGTTCCAACACCTGATCCCAAAAACAACATCAGGAAACAACACAACAGAACAGATCATAAAATATTCAATTGAGACAGAAAATTCCAGAACCTCAGCAGCAAGGTATTCGAGAACAGCAGAAAGGTAAACTGGAGAACCAGACCCCACGCGCTGGGCATAGCGACCGGCTTTCAGATAGCGAGCCACGCGCCCAACGGGGAATTGAAGACCTGCTTTGGTGGATCTGGAAACGGACTTTGAAGTCTTGGGTTTGCCCCTTCCACCTTTGGTAGTGGTAGCTGCTGCCTCTGAAGAACTCATAGTCGTTTTCCGAAGTTGCTCTGTGGAGATCCCGTCGTGAAGTTATGCAGAGTGAGAGCTTGGTTTTCAATTAATATAGAGCGCGACGCTTCATTGTGATTGGATGAAAGGGATTCTCGCGGATCGCCAGCGTGGACGCCTTGTAATTTGAGTTTTAAGTTTGCGCTTTTGGGCGGGAAACAATAATTTTAATATATTTGACCTTGTTGACATTTCATGGGTCTTCTAAGGCTACTGTGTAAGCCCATTTTCACTTATCCTACTGGGCCCAAACTTGAAAACAAAAAATAACACCATGTCCAAACCTTTTAATAATTTTGTGTAAAATACAAACGTAAGTACCTATTAAATTATCTTATATTAATTTAACAATTATATGAACTAAATTTAAACAATTTAGACGTTTATAAATATATAATTTTATAATTAATATGTATTTATATTTTAATAATATATTATAATTTAAGGCAAAATTATGCCATAAAGAATTAACTATTTAAAATGTAAAATTTTAATTATTTAATTAAAATGTTTAATTTAATGGTTAATATGTTTATAATTTTATCACTGATAAAATTATGCGTTAGTGTGAATATGACAATATTTACATGTGAATCAGGTTAATATTATCTTTCCATCTATATATTCCAAGTTGATAGTTATCTTCAGTTTTGAGGAAAGGTGTATTTCAATAAATTAAGAAATTTTTCTACGTTCTCTTACAATGTTTATTGTATTAATTTTCTTATTGATCAGATAAAAATGTAATGAATGTTTTTATACTATAGAATGTTAAATATAATAATTATTTATTTTCTATGTATATATATTAAAAACTAATAAAAACATGTTATAAAAACTTATAACATTACTCTTTCAAATACCATTTTTTTATCATCTCTTTCAAATAACATTCGAATGATTATCTCTTATTATTGCATTACCTAGTCGTAAATTAAGGAGAAAATATGCCATAACAAAGTGGCTCTGACAAGGAGTGGGGTTAGAATTTTCAAAGACAAATATACTACTATAGTGGTATCCCTCTCATTGATAATTGGTTTAAAAAACCGCAAAATATACAGTTAGGAGGATAAATAATGAGAACGAATTGTTAGAGGAAATGAGATGAAAATAGATTGATGCATTGTGGGAGTGATAATGAATAGGGATGACAATGAGTAAAGTACTCAATGAACACCCGCAAAATTTACTCATAATGGGTAGGTTATTTACCTGCTATATAGATATGGATATGAGTGTAGGTAAAAACCCACAAATTTTAATGGAGATGAGTACGTGTATGAGTATATAAGTACTTATCCTGCCTTATACCCGCATATATATATATATATGCTTGAACTTTATTCTAGAATTATGTATTGAATTTTTGTATTATTATATTACTTATATGAAATTATATAAGATTAATATAAAAATATATTTAATAATAAAGTAAACCAACAAATTTAGTTTAATTTATATTTTTAATAGAAAAATTTATTTACTATTTTATATCATTTAATTAGACTAATACAATTTAATTATTACATAAATAATATGAGATTGACTTTTTTTAAAATATTATTTATATATGACACACATAAAATATTTTTTTACAAATATTTTTATTAATAAAATCATATTGATGTTTAAATCATAAAGTGAATGATAAATAATAAATATATTGTAAATATTTTATAAATTTTACAATCACATACTATTATCGTAAACTTATTATTTATTAATAATATTTAAATTTTATTTTTATATTTTAATTTAAAATAATATTTTTATATACAACATATCTATTACAAGCATAATTATAATATATTGAATCTAAATAATATTATTTTTACTATTTATTTAAGTTCAAAGAAGTTTTTAAAAAGATATAAATATAAAAAAATATTATTAATTTTTATTTGATAATTTTGTTTAGATAAAAAATATATTTTTTAATATACACGTATATTTCTTTATTATAAAATTTTGTTGTGACCATTTATCTTTTATTCAAGTTATTTCTTTTAAAATTTATATACACTATAAATATTTAATTCATTAAAATATTTTTTCAAAAATTTGTATTTTTGATAAAATACTTTTGTATAGTATATGAGTTAAAAATACTAGTATTAATATATATATTATTTTAATTAAATCTATTATTTTTCTTACAATTTCAAATTCAAAAGTTAAAAAAAAAATTATGTATTCACTTTCTGCTGTTAATATTGAACTTTTCTACTCTAACTCTATTCTCATTCTCAATATCTGTATGATTAAAACCTAACAACTATGAAACGTTATTCATTAGAGTTAGTTATCAATGCCGTCACAAGAGATCACTAAGTGATCCTACACGAAGGAACAATCATTGTGCATATCTATTTTGTTGTCGCTCTGACATTGTCAATCGATCAAATCTCACACAAGATAGGGTTATCAATGACAAATAATTGTATGTTTAGTTTCGCTTATTATTTCTAAGAATTTTAGTTTAGAAAATTATTATATTAAAATACATTTAGCATTTATGATCTTTAAATATTTATTTTTTACCTATGTTTGTACTTTGTTCGGCAATTACATATTAAATTTTTGTATTATTATACTACTTGTGTAAAGTTATATAAATATATTTTTCTTTATAAATATTTTTTTCTCAAACAAACATGGCTAATGGGTATAAGATGGGTATGCGAGTACTCAGAGGGTACGGGTCCGGAGATTAATGTTTATACCCACGCAAGTATAAGCTGAGTACGAGTATTTTTTTAAAACGCGGATATAGAAATAGATACTATAGTACTCTATCGATACCCTACCCATTGTTATCCCTAATAATTAACGTAATGCATATAAACAAACGTAAAATTTACAATTTAAACAAAGAAATTCCTAAGTTTAAAAAGTATAAATGACAATAAAAATAAGGTAAGTAAATAATGAAAAGTATTATTGAAAAATTATGCATATAGGTTTGATGTTTATATTACGTAAGGATTCTATTTATAATCAATAACGCGAATACAAATAAAATGTATTTTAATTGCATGATTCTAAAATAATGTCTCTTTATGTAAATTAGGATGATAAGTTTCAGCTTTTTAACAGAAACTACTTTAAAAAAATAGTTACCTGCTTTTCGTAATTCTTTGTTGAAGGTATATTAGTTGAATGCTTAAAATATGATCGCTTATATTAAGATGATACTTCCAAAAAACTTTACCGAATGAGCATTTGAGATATTGTTGATGTCTTGCCTTCTGGTGACTTTTTTTACATTGTCTTAATACTGGCTTTGTTTGAGACATGGTTTGGCTTGTTCTTTCCAGCTTTTGAATTCTTTTATGTTTTTATTCTTCCAAATTGATTTGAACATCAAAATTTTTTTTATTTATTTTTTAGATTGAGTGAATTTTTAATTTTTCTGACGATGATTGGACTAGTGTCGAAAACATTTTTGTTATACTATTTTTAAAACAATTCTATGGTCATTTTATAAAATAAACACTAAATAATAAAATATATGTATCTACATATTGCAAAATATAAAAAATAATTGTTATTATTAAGGAAATTTATTAGCAAAAAAAATAATTTAGAATTATTCATGGATTAATTGGAGATAATCCAAATCGACACGGATTGGTCATTTGATATTGTTTTAGCATTGTAATTACAATTACAACCCCTCTGTTTTTGTGATCTGACTATAAAACAGAGACTGGCATCGCATAAATGATCCAATTTCCATTTGGTGGAATTGAACCAATGGGCACAACAGGCCGAAAGCTGTTCCTAGTTGCTGACCTAATGCAGAAAAGGCCAAACCCAAAGGTGGCCCGCACGTTATCAATGCAGAAACTTTTATTTTTATTAAAATGAAGGGACAAAGAAGAAGACAAAAATTAACAGAGATGGAGAGAAAAATAGTTTATTGCTAAAAAATAATGTTATATCATCCTTATTTTTAAAAATAATTTATTTATTATTTTATTAAATAAAAATCAAATGAAAATGATTATGCATTTATTATTTAAAATATAAAAACATTTAATATTTTTGTTTATTAATTTAAAAAAGTAGAAAAAAGAAAAACAAATGTGGCAAGTGGCCCATTGAATGCAGAGTGGGAGAAAGAGACGAAAAAAGTGGAAAAAAAGAGGGAGCAGAGGAAGCAACAAGGAAGTAGTAAACAACACGGCAAATATGTTCGGAATAATATGCGTGCGTTGCACATGCTCAGCACCGCTTCCATATTAGGACAACATATACAATCAAATACTTAAATGCGCACCAGTGCTTTTAATTTTAATTTTTAAATATTATTCATTTATTTTTTTCTTTTTTATTATACTGTATTGTTTATTATATTTATCATTTTTCTCCTTCTATTTCTTGTTTATTTCTTTCTAAGTACATACACAATAAGAAAAATGATACATATAGCTTATGAACATACTTATCCCAGGCTTTTAAACAATCACAGAAATCGCCCTTAAGCCATCCATTTTGCATGGTGTATGTGTTGAGGAGAGAGTGAAACTATATTCTAATTGTTTCAAGTAAAGGAGAATGTGAGTAGCTTTTGGTTTTGATCGACCTTCCAATGACAGTTGGGCATCGTTGTCTTTAATTCTCAGTGGGTCTTCAATAAATGCCTCTCTTATGGATGCCAATTTGAATTTGGCATCACAAACTCGAGACAATTTTTGGAGTGCACCAACAACGGGTTATACCAAATTGAATGTACATGTAGTGTGGTTTAGAGCAATTAATGTTGGGAGAGACGCAGAGTTGCCGGTGTAGTGCCGTGCACGAATGGTCCTTGTCTCCTTAGTTACTTACTCCACAGAAGACTTGGTTGCCCCTTTTCTATTTAAGATCTATTTATTTTAAGGCTATATATATTTGAGATTAATTTTAAAATATAATCGTCTATATTTTTGGAAATTTCATAAAAACAAATATTTTATAAAATAAACTAAATAAAGTTTACATTAATTAAATATTTTAACATAAATTATTTAATAATTTTATACTTTTTACAGGCATTTTTAAAAAATAATATACTCATGCTCATAATGAAATTGAATAGTAGTGTATACTGAATAAAAGCATTATTATTATTATTATTATTATTATTATTATTATTATAGAGTGAGCTATTGTAAGAAATATATATATATATATATATATATATATAATATTATTTTCTTAAAATTTGTTTAAAAAGAAAAGATAAAAGAGGACTTTTTTTAACTATTTAAATAATTTTTTAAACTATATTTTCCACGACTAAGTTCCAAGAAGTAATCAAATTCTGTGGAAACAATGTTACGTACATTGTCAAAGTGTTGTACCATGATTTAATAAGTGTAATTTTATTTGTAGATCCTTAAAATAATGATTAACTAAAAATATGTTTGGACTATTTATAAGCATTATGTCATAAATTTCTAAAACAAAAAATAGAATGAAATAAATGAAGAAATAGACATTAAAAGTATTGCCGTTATAAATTGGGGAGTGCATGGTGGATTGTTTTCTCCGATGGATGATGATAATAATAATATATTTTTTATTATATTACTCATTTTATTATTGATTTTCTCTTCTTATCTAAACTGAAATATATTAAAAAAAAATCCATTTATCTAAAAAAAATAAAAATACTCGTAAAATGATAAACCTTTCGGCCAAGCATTACGTATGTCACATGACGGCATGACATAAGATGATTAAAATAAAACTTCGATGCTTATAAACAATACTTATTTAAATTTAGCTTTTAGTTTACAGTTTTATCATAATATATTTTTTTTGTAATCGTTGTCATTTATATTATATATAAATATATAAATAGAGTTGTTTAAATAATTTTATTATATGTATTTAAATTTTTTATGTGAATCTTAACTTTGTTATTTAATAATAAATTATATGAAATTTGATTATATCATTAATATTTTTTGTTGTCCAAGCTCATTATTTAAAACGTTTCTTAATCTTTTATCTATTTTTAAATATTTAGTGAATTTGATATTTTCTTGATCTTTGTACATAACCTATTAAAATTATTGTTTTTTTTTAAATATTTCGTATTGAATATATTTCTACAATATGTTTTTATAAAAAATATTATATCTTATTTTTTGAACTAATATATGAAAGTGATAAATTATAAAGATGAAAGTAAATAAATGGCCTCTTACCCCCTTGCAATTAAAATAGCAGAGGGAGAAACGGTGATGGCTCAATTGAATCTGATTCTCACCTCACCGTTTCCATCAAATAGAAGAAAACAAACGGCATGGATCCACGGTAGGGTCCCGCGCCTAACGTCATGAGATGAATCGAAAGAACCGCAGAGCAAGCTATTGCACACGTGTCCAGTAGCGAAAACCGCTTCAGCGGATCAGAACGTCTCCTCGAACTGTGTCCCACACCGAAAGCCCTATTCGATCATCGTATCAAACTCGTTTTGAGAATAAACACTTCGCATGCGGGACCCACCCCCAACATAGACTAACGTCATTACGCCATTTGTTTATAGTGCACCACCACAGATATAGATTGATACAATTCAACCGCCTCAGTTTCATTCAATACCACAACAATTCTAACCTTTCGCCCAACTTTATATCCTATATTTTTCCTAATATTATTAATTATAAAATTTCAAGTACATTATTTAGTTAAATATACGATCAATGCACTTTTTTCCATTTTAAAATTTTTTTAACTGATAAATCTATTTGACACATTAATTTTTAGTTTTGGGTTTAATTTGAGAAACTGTGGAAAAAAATAAAGAAAGGACGAAAACGAAGCTCCCTTTGAGATTCTGACAAAAAACATGCCGTCATGCGCGACTTACTAGCGGACAAAACACGTGTCATCGTCAGTGGCACTTATTGCGGTTTTGTGGGAAAGGAAAGGGTAGTTTGGGGAATTGGTGGAGAGGGAACCCTTTGTCGCCACGTTCCTTGGCGTTGGCCGCACGCAGGGAAACTCTTTTGTCTCCTTGTTTTATTTCACTTGTGGCTTCTCTTTCTTTCCAACAAGATTTTTCATTAGGTACGGCTATTGCCAGACCCTGTTTTTTACTATTTCCAGTCTTTTCCAGATCTACTGTCTCTTTAGGAAATGTACTTTTTCGCGTAGAAAAGTGAAAGCCATCTCTTCAATTCGTTACAACAAAATTATTGTACCCGTGAAAAAAAACTTGGTCCATTTTAGGTACAATAGTAGACACTCGTCAACGAGGAAAGCCAATAATATTATTTTAAAAAATTCTTATTGTTAAATATATTTTACTAAATAAATAGTGTAAACTTTTTTTAATCATTCTGATATTTTGTAATAATAAAAATATTTATAAGATACGAACAAAAAGTACCTTGTTAATATTTTTCATGAATTATTGGATATAAGGTTGGGGTAACTTGTTGTAACCAGGTGTAAAGAATCAAGTATGCAGCTAATTATGAAGTACGGTGCAGTTAATTTGAGTTTATGCTAACAAGTTGTTGTTTTTTAATACAAGTTTCATGAAGTATATATGATCAAGCAAACTCGACAGATGTAAGAGCTTCGATTGTATATTCATAGAAATTAGTGGTAAAGAATTAAGTGACGTGTACCAAACTGTTAACTTAAATGTTATCTATTCATATCTTTTATTTTTAGAAGAAAATATTATTCTTATATATTTGTCATTTTAAAAGTTTAAAATGATATTTATTACTATTTTTAATTATGCCTTTTTTTAATTAAATATCTTACACCCTTATCATAACGAGAAAATAATAAATAGAATGAAAATAACGAAAACAATGCAAAGACAGAACACGAGGGAAAAAAAAGAAAATAAAAAAGTGGACCATGAGTTTAAAACGTGAGAAAAATAACATTGTTTAGATTAGCTTAAGTTTATCAGAGTTAAAATATTAGGAGATGGTTTTTTTTAGTAATTATTAATAAATAAATAAAAGCTTCAGTTCTTTTATCATAAAAAAAATTATCTTACTTATTGGGGCATAGAAGTTAAATTTAGTCGCTTAAATAAGATTTTTATATCTTAAAATTATATTATTTATTTTTAATATATGTTATTTATTTATATAATATTCAGATTAGATTATATAATTTAATTAATATATAATATAAATGATATACTTTATAAATAATGTTATATTTTAAATAAAATTTAAAAAGAATACAAATATAACTTTACTATCATTTATATTAATTATATATTATATTATTTAAGTTAAATTAAATATTATATAAATATTAATATCAATAAATAAATAATAATAATGTATAAAAATAATTTTAAATAAGTTATTTTAAAAAGTAAAAAATGGTAAATTGTCAAAATTTAATAATCAGTCCATAAAATAAACGAGCCCAAAACGGACTTGCAAAATGGCTGAATGGTCATCATTATCAATGCACAAGGGGAAAAAGACAAAATAAGAAAGAGAAAATGGACATTGAAAGAAATTAATTAATAATAAAATAAAAAATTGGAAATGGTGGGACCCATATAAACAGTTTAATTCCGCCGCCCTCTTTGTCGTATTTCTCGTCTCCGTCCATTCTCGTCGTTCCGTTGCGTTTGACTCTCTCTTCTCTTTCTCTCTCTCTCTCTCTTCTTCATCTTCTTATCCTTCTCCCTCCTCTCTCTTATATATCTACGATCTCTCTGAACTCTATCTGTTCCCTCCTGTGTCACACACGAGTGTACCTTCTTCTTCACCAAAACCTTCAACTAGGAATCGATCAAGAGAGTTGTTAGTGTAAGAGGCACCACCCTGAGAGAGACATACATAGATACGTACGTATGTACGTACGTACATACTCTTTTACACTTTGTTGTGATCGTTATTACGAGACGGCACAAGAGAGCGGTTACAGTGGGGATCATTGTTGCTGCTGCTCAGGCCTTTTCTGTGGGTTCCCCCTTTTGATATTCGCTTTATAGAGAAACAACGAGACATGGCTGGCAGTAATGAAGTCAACCTCAATGAATCAAGGGTATCCCTCTCTCTTGTTTTTGGAATCTCCCATTTTGCTTTTGTTTTGTTTTTGATGTTGGGTTTTGAAGAAAGTTTTAATCTTTAACTCCAATTGCAAGGACTGCATCTTCTTTGGGTGACATATAGGGGTTACAAAAGGGACTGGTTTTTTGTTTATTAATGAAGTGACACCATATTGAATAATCCAATTTTTGGGGTTGGTTTAGGTTTTTTTTTTTTCATTGTACTTTCAGTTTGTTCCATGTAGGTTTTGGATTTCTTGTTCTGTTTAGTTGAATCAACAAATTGATCTAGAAATAGAAGTAAAGAGTGATGTGGATAAGTGTTTTAATATCTTCAATCTATGGTTTGATTTTGTAGAGTGTTGTTCCACTTAACACGTGGGTGCTTATCTCCAATTTCAAGTTAGCTTACAATCTTCTTAGACGAGCTGATGGAACATTTAATCGGGAGTTAGCAGAGTTTCTTGATCGAAAAGTCCCTGCCAATGCAAATCCCGTTGATGGGGTTTTCTCCTTTGATCATGTTGATAGAAACAATGGACTCTTCAATCGTGTGTACTTACCAGCTTCTGAAAGCGAGGCTCAATGGGGTATCAAAGATCTTGAAAGGCCATTGAGTACCACAGAGATTGTTCCTGTTATAATATTCTTTCACGGGGGAAGTTTTTCGCATTCTTCAGCAAATAGTGCTATCTATGACACCTTCTGTCGCCGCCTTGTGAGTATTTGTAAGGCTGTTGTCGTTTCAGTGAATTACCGGCGATCGCCGGAACATCGGTGTCCTTGTGCCTATGATGATGGTTGGGCTACATTGAAGTGGGTTAAGTCAAGAACATGGCTTCAAAGTGGAAGAGAATCGAAGGTTCATGTGTACATGGTAGGGGACAGTTCTGGTGGGAACATTGTTCATCATGTGGCTGTGAGGGCTGCTGAGGAAGAAGTTGAGGTAATGGGAAATATTCTTCTTCACCCATTGTTTGGTGGGGAGAAGAGAACCGAGTCAGAGATGAGATTGGATGGGAAGTACTTTGTGAGGCTTCAAGATCGTGATTGGTATTGGAGGGCTTTTCTACCTAAAGGAGAGGACAGAGACCATCCTGCTTGTAACCCTTTTGGCCCTAGAGGGAAAAGCCTTGCAGGAGTCAAATTTCCTAAAACTCTTGTTTGTGTTGCTGGTTTGGATCTTCTCCAAGATTGGCAATTGGCATATGTGAAAGGTCTTGAGGATTCTGGCCAACAGGTCAAACTTCTTTACCTTAAGGAGGCCACTATTGGTTTCTACTTCTTGCCAAATAACGATCATTTCTATTGCCTTATGGAGGAGATCAAGAACTTTGTGAATTCTAACTGTTAATACACTACTACCACTTTTTAACTTACCTACAGGAGGCCATACATAACAAAAGCTTGACATTTTACATGGGTGCTCTTTTTCTTTTTTCCTATTTTTGTATCTTATTTTATCTTTTTCTCCACGTTGTAGTAAGGGTGTGTAGTTATAAAATTGTGTAGTACTACTTATTACTATCGTAACATCTATGGTAGTCAATTTGAGAGTTCTGTGACATGGGGACTATTACTTCCTGTTCTCTTTGTTCGTGTCTTTTGGAATGTTGCACCAATTTCTGCAGGAGCAGAAATCAGTTCATTTGTGGGGTTTGGCGGAACCACCTTATACAAAACTTTACCCCCTTTCAAATTTTTGACCTCAATAGCAACGGGGTGATAGAAGATAAGGAATGGTTAATCATTTTGGTTAAGTGAATGCATTCCTCTTGTAGCACTAATTACTGAATGTGAACTAGAGAAGACCCCAATCTGTTATGAATTTGTATGTGGTGTGTATATATACACACACACACTTATGTTCTAGGGTTATACAATTGTATTGGATGTTTGGTTTTGACTTTAGTTCTGGCAGAAGCCAATATCGTGCTGGTCTCAATTGCATCCTGTTAATGGTTCCAATTAAGCTGTTTCAATTTTTTGTGTTGAGTTATTTAATGTGTTTCATTGAGATACTTGTGCAAAATCTTTATGTGGGGTAATGCCCAAAAGAAATTAAAAGGAAGAAAAGGTAAGAGTGAAAGGAAAAAGAGAATAGAGGGTGAGTAGGCCTATGATACGGGCGAATACGACACAAGTTAATTCGAGTATTATGGCGTGTCCAATTGACTATAAAAGTAAAGCTAAGCTTTTTGTCTGTTCTAAAGGGCCATTCTTTTAATTTTGCCTTTTGGATTTTCCAAAATATAAAGTAAGGTTATCATCTTCAACATTTGAATCAGAAGGGACAGTATATTAGAAAAAGTCAAGATAATAGAGTAGTACTAGTGCACTAGTGATAAAAAGATGAAGCATTAGATTTGTTCTCTGATTCCCCTCCTCTTTGCATTCTAGCACGTTCGATAAATATGATTCGTCTGATAAAGTTGATGACAAATGTGAAGGCGGAAAAGAGAGTTTTGTGTATGCATAATAGTGTGACTTAGGAAGAATGAAACGTGTGATTGAACTCGCGGGGGAGGGAGCGAGGACTTGTTCTTAATCCACATATACCAAAATAGGGCCAAGCCTAACCACCATACACCAAAAGGACAAGAAAAGTTTTCACGCGAAGAATGATTGGCAGGAGTTTGAATCATAATATTTCTCTCTCTTTCAACATCAATCTGATTAATTATTGTCATCACCTTATTGCCTGTTGTATCATGTCTATTTGGAGCTTGGGAAAACAGCAAATTCGGGAATTTGGCATTGTTTTGAGTCTTTTGACAGGGAGAACCCATTTTCTAGTGGTTGGGATTTTTGGATGTATTCATAGGGACCACTTTTGGGAACCCACGAAACCAAATAGTCCAATTAAAAAATTAAACCTGTTGGGTTTGCTTTAAAGTGTTTAATGGTCACTAAGTGGTAGGAACAGCTAAGGTGGGACAAAGACATCGAACCTTGTCTTTTGTGGTCTCTCTCTCTCTCTCTCTCTCTCTCTCTCTCTATATATATATATATATATATATATATATTATAGAAACTGAACTCCCTTAATCTAGTCATTGAGTTAATAGTTTATATTAAGAAGATAAGTTTAAAAATTTTCTATTAATTCAAAATTTATTTGATACATGTGTGTGTGGAGTAATATTTTTATAATGATATTTAAAAATGTTATATATCGAAATATGAGATTTTGGAGAAAAATATAAAAACTTTTGAATAAAATTAGTTAAATTCATATTTGTGATTGACAAATTTTATATGAAATTAACTAATTTTGACGAATTTTTTAGTGTGTCTATATTTTTAATTCTTTCAAAAATTCCACACACACACACGCACATACATATATATATATATATACACATTTTTGTTACCTGGGTTATCTAGCTAGCATATTTCATGTTCTTACTGAGAGTTGTCCCGAGTAAATTAGCTGTTTATGTCTTGAAAATATTCCCGAACTCGACAAAGGGAGGAGTCATTATCAACAAATTGGTTTTCTTTATTGGGGATCATGGACAAAAATCACCATTTTTTGGTCGGTACCTTAATACAATATAAAATCTAGAGATTGCTTGTAGTTTGCGCGTTTACATCATTATGATGATCTTCTATTCAGGTGTGTCATTAGTGTCCAATTTTATTTTAAATTAATAGTACCAATGTCTCTTAGTTTAATTAAAAAGGAATTTGATTTTTAATAGTAAATTTTCGAATTTAAGATTCTTAAAGAGAAGAAATAGGTGCTAAAAAAGTAAATAGATCCTAATGACGTTTTATTTTTACTAGAAAAGGCTGTTTTTCTTTCCTAGTAGTCTTGATTGAGTCATGATGATTAGAATACGTGATTGCATCTTCTAACGGGGAATTGAACTGAAATTGTTTCTTTGTGGAGGTAACCTCTTACAAAGTATATGCTTCTCATTGGAAACAATCATATCCATTTATATGCGATTTAGTGTCAAAATTCAATGACTGTAGAATGAGAAATATACGTGTTGACTTTTCTCTTCGATGCTCGGTAGTTTTCTATGCTTCCAAGATTGTCCGAATCGTCTGCAGTTGACAACAGTAGACTATTTTGACCATTTCAAATACTGTGTTGTGTGTATAGACATGCACCTCCTTAGTCATGAGCTGATTGTGTATGCAGCATTGTAAATTATGGAAATGTTATCTACTTGATGAGAAAGACTCATGAGGACAATAAATTAAACAAAAATGGAAGGGAGCCAATAAAATTCGACACCTACCTATTCCCTTTATCTTCCAAGGACAATAGATATCCACTTCAAAAAATAATCTTTATTTGAGTTAATAACATTTATAATATGATGAGATTAATTATTTGGTTACGTGGCATACTTTTATTATAATTCCACCTTAAAAGGAAAAAAAGTATCTTTAATTGTATTGACAAGAGTATAAAAGAAATTGAGAAATTGACACGGGAATTTTGTTTTTATTCTTGAACCAATTTGATCTGTTTGATTAAATGGGTTGGCGTTGAGATGTATAGTGCTCTATAGTATAATATTTATACGAGTTTATCTGTTTTGTTGCCCAATTTTGGCTTAAAGTAGGGATGTGGGTTATATTTAAGCTATAATAATTTAGGTGGAGGTACATGGAGGGTATCAAAAACAGCACCAAGAAAAACAAATGGATAACCGGCCCCGATGCATATCTATGTACTTTGCATAACTGGTTTCATTATAAAAAATAAGTTTTCAATTTAAGTTATCAAATAATGATTAAGTGTATGAAATAAGTTATAAAAATACTTCAAAGACTTATCACACATACTCCATATATGCGACATTTTTGTTGTCAAACCTCAAGACTCAACCCTGAATAGATAATTGCAACAAGTAATCTAGAGGACTTTAGGGGTAAAGAAATTTTTTGGGAGAGCAATGAAATGTATGGAAATAAAAAGAAAAAGAAAAAGAAAAGAAAATACTAATATCAAAGCACTCTGCTAGACCAACAATGATCATATGTTTACGTTGGAAATATTTAGGGAAAAGAAAATTAAGGAAATTTTTTTTAAGGTTTATGTGTTTTGACGAGGAGAAAAATATGAAAATAAAATGGTATGGGATTTTAAAAAAAATCGCAATTAGGGAAGAAATAAGGAGGGCTACAGTTGTCATTTATTTTAGATGCAAGATATAAAAGAGAAATGGACGCTTTCTTTTTTGCCATTTTTCATCTTTATTGTACTCCAGCTCGTTATCGTTAATTCTAAATGATAAGTAGCAGATGGCAAAAGAAATTATCTCAACATGACACTCAAAATTGGGAGATATGTATTATTCTCAATCGCTGACAATGTTTCTAACTACACACAATTTGACCACATGATAAGATCAACCAATGTCAAAATTCTCACTAAAGTGCACAACCAACGGGTATTAATGGGCTTTCAGAGGCAGCTCCAGCGTCAAGCTACAAAATCTGTGCACTATTTGCCACACCTCAAGCACCACCCTTCAAAAATAGGGCAATCCTGTTGCTCTTCTTTACAATGGGCTCCAGGATCACCTACCTCAGAACAGAATGAAAATGTATTATTGAACCAACGGACCTTAAGGTCAAAACTCTGAATTTCATTTCAATGCACTCCTTTCGTTTGCAAATGGAACCATTCGATCAAAAGGTCTTCATCTTCTGCTTTTATCTGTTCTTTTGAGTCATAACCAATATATTCTTTTGCATCTTCCAAAACAATTATCTGCATACACAAAAATACAACAAAAAAACTTTTATGCACCTGCATACTGTCTAGTAACATCCAGAAGTGTGCTATAGCAAATCCCAAAGCTTTAGACATGAGCAAACTGTTAAGCAACAAAATTCAGAGAAAAGGAGAAGTCACCAATAAGACAAATGTGCACTAAAAGAGACATGTTTTTGTGTCTTTCACACACAAAAAAAATTTCTAATACACAAGGAAATACCAATTCCTTCACAATCCTAATGCGCAGAGAAACACAATTGTTTCCTTTTCTTCAAAACCATTTCAAGTGGTATACTAGGATGTACACAAGGGATAAGAAAACTCGTGATTCACATCATAATAGTCAATCCCGAATAACAACGCAAAGCAATTGACCCCAAAAACGCTATAGCAAGTACGAATGCTATTTTGAAAACAATCTAAACAGAGAAAGAAAATAAATCAAAAGAGGGGTCAGTCACCAAAGAAAGCTCTAATGCATATAGTCTTGCCAAAAAATATCTCATTATCATCAAAAAAATGTCTACATCTCAAAAAATATTTTGAGTTTCACTAGAGATGAAAAAGACAACCCGAAAATGTCTATATGTTCATTTTAGAAATAAGTTGAATTTTATTGGAGATAAAAAAGATGACTGAACTTGGCCAAAAATAGTGACTTGCACAAGAAAGTGATGCCGAGGATAAAGCAAGAGAATGAGGTAGGGTTCGATCTATATAAACGGGGGCAAAATCTCAAAATTGCCTCTTAAAAAGCATTCCAACTTATAGAAAGGAAGGACAAACTTCCTGTTTTGCCCTTGTTTGGCATAGCAGTCGTGATGGCTTCAATTTTCCCCTTTCATGGTCGCAATTCGCGTCAAGACAACCACTATACTGAGCCACAACACGATGGCCCCAAAATCGTGGCACGGTGCTGCTCCCCGATCGCGCCCAATATTGACTATTATGATTCATATCACATCTGCATTTTGTTAAAGTAGTAGGCAAATTCTAAATCATGCTTTTTAACTCAATTATCACCAAAGGATTCAGTCATGAAATATTGAAATGTACATTTGCAATAGCATAATGCAACTACACCCTTCTAATTTTAGGACTTCAGCATATAGACATCTCATATTTCAAAATTCAGAATTAAGCATCAGCAACCAGCTTCCACACATGTCCTGCTAATATTACTAAACAGTAAATTACCAAGGAAAGACCACATTTACTTTTCTTCACAAAGCCCAGTTTTATCCACAAATGGAAAAAAAAAGCTGAAAGAGCATGCAGTGTACAGCTCTTTAAAGTGTCTTTCTTTTTCTAATGTCACTCTTCCAAAGTTATGTACATAAATGTTTATTACTGCGGAAAGTGAGAATCACAAAATCAGGGGAGAGAGAACCTACAGGAATGAATTTCTCTCAGGATCAATTTCACTAGCATCTATGGGTACTATGTTTTCTTCCCCAAATAATGTATAACACAAAATGGCCTGCATGAAGAAGGTTATTCAAATTAATACAAAGAAGGGAGAAAAAACACATGTACATACTTGACCCACTAATTCACAAATAATTTACATCTTTGATAGCCATTTAATTTTTTTATTGGCATCCCATTTATTTTCATCACATGAACATTTCTTTTCTTTTCTTCCTTGAACAAAAATGTTTTTGTCAATTTATTCTTATTACAAAAACAATTCGCCATTTTGCTTTTGCAATTCGGCGTCTCAAGGGTTTGCAATGTTCCAGATACAACTCAAACAGAAGAAACTGGAATGAGAAGTTCACAATATTTTCAAATGGACGAAAAATTTGTGTCTATGAGCTGGTTAGAAATTTTTCTAGATCCCCTTTTAAACTGATACTCAACAATATCATTTGAAAGATCGATTGCACCTCAGACAATACATTTTATGATGGAAATGCATGCAGGGGAACTTCATGACCATGCTTAAACATTTGTCCCAATGTTTTCAAAACCATGGATTTCTGGCCACAGCTGAAGTAAACCTTGTACATTATCCACAGTGTTTTCTTTGTACAACCAAGGTTGACACTTTCCATCTCCCAAAGGACATCCTGCATTTTATTTAAGTGATGTTGTCCTCCAAGCATGACCAGCTTACAATGATATAAGGAGCGGCAGCTTCTCCAACCAAAACTTTCAGCACGTCTCACAAAATTTTCTAGCTTGTCTAGTGCATTGGAGCGAAAATAAGTTGTAATTATGCATTTCATAATACTCACGGTTGTTACAGGGGTTCCGTGCTCAAATGCCACATTTAGTGCATTCTCCATTTCCTCTATCCAGTGTTCTCGGGCATAAAGCTTAATTAACAATACATTTAACCATGGCCTGTACTCTTCTTCTGGAATAAGCTTCAACAATACCTCTATTTTCCTAATTTTATCTGCTTGATTACTTTTACAGTAGGCACATATCATAGACCTGAGCAGTGGAATTTCCTTTTCATTTACATGATCCCTTACCAAGGAATACATCTCTTCCATCTTTTCCAGATTACCCGAATGTGCATACCCACGAAGCATTAGTAGGTAGGTTTTCAAGTTAGGTCGGACAGGACTGGACTTCAACATTTGAAAAGCCTTTTCCATGTCATTCCACATCCAAGCAGCAATATATCCAGAAATTAAATAATTATAAGTGCATATATTCAAGTCAAGATGTAACTTATTTATCTCCTGAAATGTAGCTTCCATGTAATCAACCAGCATCAAGCTACCAAAAACAGATAAAAGAATATTGTACGTGGCAATGGATGGATTACATGTTGGATCCCGCTTCATATCACAGAACAAAGACTGGCACCTATCAGCAAGACCATTAAACATATAAGCAGCCATAAGTGCATTGTAAGTGCTGGTTGACCTGAGACCTTTGGTTGAAGCCTCTTTAAAGAGTTCAAATGCAAAATCAACATTCTTACATCTACCTGCAAGTTTTATACCCTTTGAGTACTCAAAATAATTCATAGGGTTTCCAACATTAGAGTTCTTTCTTCTCCAATTAAACACCTGAATGTTGAACAACACAATTAAAAAAAAAAAAAAACAGAGGGTTACTTTCAAAATTCACAGTCTCTGATTTAGGATAGGGGCAAAACCAATCCAAACCATAAAAACCGGTTCTATTCAAATCAGTTATTAAAAAATGAATATTAAATGAAAATACCTGAAGGGCAAGAGAAGGGTTTGAATTCAATTGATACAAAAGCTCAAGCAACGCGTGTCCACCAGGTTGATGCAGATTCAAAGCTTCAGAATTCTCATCCAAAATCTTGCGAACCCGAACAGAGTCTGAAGATTCTCGAACCAATTGGTTCCTCAAAATTGCCATCCTATAGTTTTCGGATGAAGAGCCAGGCTTCGCAGTGAACAAGACAGCGATTTCAGATAATCCGTTTGAAAGGGTATTGACCTGGCGAGCGATGAAGGAAGGAACGATTCTGGGCTTTGTGGAGTGAGATTTTCCATGGAATTGAGAGAGAAACAATTGAGCTTGCGCTGCGTCTGAAGAGAATCTCCACACTCGCTTCATTGTCATTGCCCAAGCTTTTCCTAGGGTTTTACGATGAAGAAACACCCCCCTCAAAACGCATCACTATGCAGAACCTCCCTTTTGTCTGGGCTTGGATATTTCAGCCCACGCCCCATTACACCCAATTTCAGTAACTGAAATACAGCATATAGTTTACATATTGCCCCGACCAAAAACAAAAAAAAACAAACTTACTTGTTGAAACATTAGCCAAATTTATACTACTTATATTAGACAATAGAATTTTGACCTGAAAAATTAGACAATAGAGTGGTATAATTTTTTTTTTTATTTTTAATGTTTATTTAAGTAATAAAATATAATAAGTCTATCTTGTAAGTTTATAATATTTTTTCTTTGGTAGAAATTTTATCTAAAAACATAAATAAAATGTGTATGACAAAAGGCGTTAAGTGTCGAGCAAAATAAAGCCTTAAGGTGGGGCCTTTTGGCTTTTGTCTCTTTTGTTGCTGCAACGGTCACCAAATCATCAAGTATTTGCATAACTTTTATTAGTATGCATGCATTTTTTTTCATTATTTGTTTGTAATTTTTTTAAAACAAAAAATACATTTTAGTTAGAGACTTTAACAAATTATGTTTTATATTAACTCTAAATATATCATAGTATATATTAATATTTTAATTAATAAATTTATTTGTTAATATAATATATTACATTCTTAGTATAAATTCTTAAAAATTATATTAAATAAAAACTATCTTGATATTTGATACTTTTTATTTATTAATAAAAAAATATTTTATGCATTTGTTAGCACACCATCATTCTTTTCATTTACGTAGACAGATTTTATTTATCCTTCAGCAGTGGGATATACAAAACCAACCACATCAATTTTTTTATCTATCCCCGTATATTTAGAAAGGAAATTAAGTATTCTGTTAGAAGCTTATGGTTTAATTTTTTAAAATTTTAATTTGATTTGATATATTTAAGTAATACATTTAATTTTAATTTTTTAAAAACTTCATTAAATAGATTATATTTGAACTTGAAAAAAATTTATTAAATCTAATAAAATAATTATTTTATGACTCATAAAATTTATAATAACATATTAAATAATTTTATATAAAACTATAATATTATATTAAATAAATTTAATTTTAAAATAAATAAAATTTTATATTTAAAAATTTTAATATTTTTTTGTTAAAGAATTTTTACGCTAAGAGAGAGAATATTTGTTAGAATTTTCTTTTCGTGTTTATTTTTTTAGTTGTCTTATAAATCATATATATATTACGCTGTCTTTATTTTTTTATATCACTAGTTTGTTTCATCCATTATCGGTGTATATAATAATAATACTATGCTAGCGTATTTATTATTTCTTTATTTTAACAAATTAATATGTAATTATTTTTTTTAGTTTTTTCATTATATTTTGAATTAGATTCCTCTTTATATACTCTTCTTTTAAAATAAAATCTTACACACTTATTATTTATATTATATGTAACTTTTTTACTTTCAAGTTAACAAAATGTCTTATTCAACTGACAGTAATGAAATAATTTCATCTATTTTTATTGCACTTACACTTATAAATGATCAATTATTATTAAGTTCAACTATAAACTAACATATAAAAAAGTAAAAATTTAGTCATTAAAAGGAAGAGACATAAAACATTAGCTATTTGGACGAATTTTGTTAAAATAGAAATCATTGGAAGTGTAAAGAAAACTATTAAACATGACATATTTATTTATTTTAGATTTTTGTTTATTATATTGACTAATTTTAAGTTTAAAAATTATTTATTTGTATTGTAATTGTTAATTTAAAGTGTAAAACTTTATGTTATTAGATTTATTTAATAATATATATATGTTCATTTAATTGTATTTATTGCATGTATAATAATTTACTTATTTGAATCAAATATGTGATTTGAAAATGATAAATAAGAATATATAATTTTATTAAATATATTCAAAGTATTGAACTATTTTTTATTACTTATTTAGATATAAATTTTATTATCTTTATAAAGACATATAGATTGTTTAATAATTTATTTATAAAAAAGTTGAATGATCTATTAAAATTTTAATAAAAATTAAGTCATCAAAAGAATTAATAAGTCAAAGTAGACTTTTAAAAAATCAAGCTAAAATTAATAAAAAAACTTATAACAAATAATAAGTTAAACTTAAGCTTTAAAATTATTAAATAGTTAAAAATTATTTATATAAAATCTAGCTTAACTTAGTTTATTTTCATCCTTACTTATATCACATTTTCGTGATAGAAAATAAGAATATCAATATATAAAATAATATATTATAAAAATTAATTAAATTACACAACAAAAATTATACAATAAAATTTAAAAATAATAATTGAATACTACAATAATAGTCATACAAATATAAAAGTAAAGTAATAGTAAAAGTGTAAATAATACTAAAATAAAACATGAAAATAAAAAAATATTATTATGAAATATTCAAAAAGTAATAGAAAAATAATATTTAAAAATTTATGTACAAAGACGTACTCTGTCCCATTTATTAATGTTAAAAATATCACCAATAAAATATTGAAAAAATAATTAATAATATTGAAATTTATATTATATTATAATTTTTCATTTGAGGATATTGTTCAGATAATATTTTAAAAAAATGTCAAACAATTTTGCTAAAAAATTATAAAATCAAATTATCCAATTAAATTTAAATAGTAATAGTCTTAAATAAATTTATATTTTAATAAAATATTCAAATGATAAAAAATTAGGTAAAATATTATATCATTTTTATTAAAAATTAATATTATTATACATACGTATAAATATCATGATTCATTTGTTCCTATTTTTATTAATTTCACCCTGGTGTTGAGAAATTTCAGGCGAGGGTCCCCTTTAAATATTTCTCTCCCTCCTGTTATCTTTACAATATTGCCACTCCCGAAGTCCAATATTTTAATATTAATTTGAACATTTTTATAATGCAATAAGGAAATTTACATTCAACTAATCAGATTTTTAGCAATTGCTTCTGTTCTTATTTATTTATCTAGAAAAAGTATTTTAACATGATATTAATTTTTATTTTTATTAATATTTTTTCTATGTACAATATTTATCAACTTAAATATTAACAAAGAATAAATTACAAATTTGGTTAGATAATTTTTGTATTTAATATAATTTTATCTTTTTAAATAGATAAATAAAAATAACGATAATATGTAAAAATCCATGTAATGGCGTTTTGATACCTAACAAACGAATGCCAAAGCACTCCTTCCAAACTTGTTATTTTGATACATAGATATGCATACCAGAGAAGTAGCACATGCAACATAAGAATATGACAAATGACATTATGACAATGAGTTACATTACATATGGGAAAAGCTACCACCATTTATGTGAAACAGTGCAACTGCTTCCTTTTTTTTCTTCCATGTTTCAAAGACAAAGAGTAAGCACAGTCCAAAACCTGAAAGCTACCTAAACACTTTTTTGTTTCAACATTTTCCCTTTGTTCCTTTGTTTGGTTACTTGTCTAAACAAAAGTCAAACCAAAGGAAGCTTCAATCAACATTGCAGGGGTCCCTCCAATCAACATTTTTTTTTTTTATCAATGAACAAGTTATTTGAATTATTAGAAATTAATATTATGTATAATTAATTATATATTTTTTATATACACATATTTTTATAATACATTTCAACTATAAAAAAAACATAAAGATGTCTATCAAAATAATACAAAAAATAATTTTCTTTCTATTAGTTGTCATAATGTTTCTTGTATGGCTTTTTCGGTTTGGTATAATTGGAGGGAAAAGAAATAAAAGAAGAGTGATTTAGAAGAAACTTTTTTTTGTTTATTTGGATGCATGGGGGGAAGGGATTTAAATGTAGTGGAGCCTACTAAAATAAAAACCATCAAAATGATCGAGGAGAACAAAATTGTTTTACTTTTAATTATAACATATTTTATATAATATAAAAATTAAAACTATTTTTATTAGTAAAAACATGTTATAATAAAAAAAAAATTAAAGCATTTGGATTCATATTTGGTCATTTGAGTTAGGAGACATATTTCTAGCCTCGGTGTGTTATACTCCCTAATAAAGAATGTGATGCTTAGTACACAAGGGAAAAAAAAGGTAAGGAGAAATATTAAAAATAAAGTAAAAGGAGTACAGTAAAGTGTTGCAAAATGTGTCTAAAAATTGAAACAGTAATTCTAAAAAAATATCATTTAAAATTAATTTTATTATTTAAACATATTTTATATATATTTAAATTTATTGATACTAGATATAAACTTATATATTTTATATCATTTAATAATTTTTTATAAAATATATTATTACTTAATCCAACTGTTAAGTGATTTTATAAGGAGAGTAACAGGAAAATGAAAAAAAAAAAAAAAAACTGAGTGAGAGAATATTTAGGGGATGGAAAACTCCTTCCCTTCAATTTTATTTATATAAACATTTTTTTACAAATTTGTAATATATCTTAATAAAAAATAAGTAAACAATTTTTTTAAGTTATAAAAATTAATATGATTAATATATTAATTTATATTTTTAATAAAAATATATTATACATTAATTTTAATATATACTTTTTAGACAAATCAAATAAAAATACATGCGCTGTTGAGTTTACATCCACTAAAAATATAGATTCACTAAAAAAAAATCATAAATAATTTTTTTGTAAAATAACTGTATTAAAAATATGTTAATGATTCCTTGTAATAAAAATTGTTTTTAATTTCTTAATGAATGTCTATAAAATACTGTTCAATATTTGCTAAAAATATATGTTTCATTTATCATGAAATAAAAAAGAGCTTTTTTTTAGGTTGGATATTCTTTTCAGTTTGTTTTGTAAATAAAAAAAATGGTTGAAAAATAAAATTTTTATATTTCACTTGAATGATTTTTTGTGGGAAACAAATTAAAGTTTCAGTCAAATTGATGCCATGGGTATGATTATAATTAAATAACTTTTGAACATTTTAAACATTCAACCAACACAGAAGCATAAAAAATAATTTAAAAGATTAATAATATACTTATATAATTTTTTTTATTAATCAATCTTTAATCAGTGTCATATTAATAAGACTAAAATTCCCCAATGCCAATAAATCAACGATAATGTATAAAAATGATCCCACAGGAGAAAACTCATTCTAATAATCTAATTCATCATAAGTGATACATGCTAGAAAGAATGGACGATAATTTTAACGTTGAATTTGATGAAAGACTAGATTTAATGATTGTGACGAACCTGCCTTTTTATAATGATGGCGAATCAAAGTTTCATCCAATAAACAGATTTATAATTGAAGTCACCTCAAAATTTTTTTTTATATGATTAAGTTAATTTTTTTAATTTTAATTCTAAATAACATTTTAAAAATTAACATAAAACAGGTAATACTACCAAAAAAATGTAAAATAAATAAGATAAACATTTATATATTATATTAATTATTAAAAATTCAAATAATGAAAAAATAAAAATGATACTCTGCAGAATGATAACAATTTTTGATTTGTTATTTACTAACATCAGTAGTAATATTACAGGGAACATTGTAGCTTACAACCTCTCCGGTCCAACACACTGGCAAGTGTTCATAAATCATAATCAACTTATTCATAAGATAAAAATGAATGAAAGGGTCAAAAAATAAATACATATTTATATCTACGTATGACGCTCATTTAATTATAAGTTCGAACACACATTGAATGTAGTGATCGACGATGAATACGTATACTTTAATGGAACTGAATCAAACTTCAGTTTCACAGAAATTCAGCGGTTACACTGCTGAGAAGGCCTGATTTTCTGCTTGCCAGCTTTTAACGGGCACGCGGTTTGAATAGGAGGCACCATGCAATTATACTGCAAACACACCGTGCTGCTCACCGGAATCTCCGCCGTCGGGCTTATCGCGATTCCGGTCAGGTAATTGTGCTGCAAGTACAGTATCTGAATACTCGCCGCCAATAACCGTTCCACGAAGCTGCCCGGAACCTGACCCGTGAAATCGTTGTTATTCAGGTACAGGTTCTGCACGCTCGCGAGCAAGGGTGATATTCCACCGGATAACCGGTTGTAGCTTAGATCAACGGTTTGGATCGTTACTTCGTTTACCGGTTGGACCGGACCGGTAAATTGGTTTCTTTGTAGTTGAAGATTGGTTAGTGGGAATGAGAACAGTCGAGCCGGGACGGTTCCCGAGAATTGGTTCAAGCTGAGGTCAAGGTAGTTAAGCCGGTTGAGCCGGGTTAAGAGCCGGTCCACCGGTCCGCTGAGCTGGTTCCAGGAAAGAGAGAGGTACTGGAGCGAGGGAGGGAGAGAATTGGAGCTGAGCGAACCAGAGAGAGAGTTGTGTTTGAGTTCGAGCCGGGTTAGGGTACGAGCCGAAGCGAAAGAGGGAACCGAACCGGAGAGGCGGTTGTGGCAGAGGATTAGGTTGGTTAGTTCCGGTAAGGTTCCGATGGACGGAGGAATTGCTCCGGTGAGTTGGTTGTAGCTGAGATCGATGGTTCGGAGGTGACCGAGCTGAGCCAAACCGGCCGGAATCTGGCCGGAGATGAAGTTGCGGCTGACGCCGAGGAAACGGAGGTTTTTTAATTGGGAGAGGGATTGGGGAAGAGGACCGTATATTCTTCCGGGAACGACAGTGAAGTCAGCAAGAGCAGAGAGCTTGGAAATGGAAGGGTCTATTTTGCCGGTGAGACCGGGGGAACCGGCCCTGGGGTCGCCGAGGTTCAGCGCAATGACCCTATCGGAGGCACAATAAACGCCGGCGAAGTTGCAGGGATCGGCGGTGAAGTCCCAAGAAGCGAAGAAATTGGAACCGGGAACATCGTGAAGGGACTTGCGAATTAATTGCAGAGCCAAGAAATCGTTGGGGTCCAATATGCTTTGCACGGATTGCAGGAAGAACATGAAAAGCAGAGAAAAGTAAGTAATTTCCATTACAAGGTTTTTGGTGGAAAAAGTTGGAGAAGATTGGTTTTTATAGTAATGGAAGGTGTTGCTTTTTGTTTTGGTGAGAGGGTGATTTCTCGTGAGAAATTGTGTGAAGGTTTTAATGGCGTAAACTGAGTATACTATAGGTGGCTTAGGCTTGGACCAGAAGCAATTCCTTGCTGAATGAGAGTTACTTTTGCTTCAATGCCTTTGCCTTTTCATGATTTTGGCTTCTCTCACAAGGTCTATATTCAATGACTTCCACAACCACACCACCACTCACTGTACCAACACGCACACAATCTCTCTCTCTCTCTCTCCTTCGGTTACCAGCTACAATACAAAATCCAAGCTTCTGTGGATGCCTGCCTGCTAAATTTTATTTATTTCTTAATTGCACTCTGCTTTGGAACAGGTTCGGATTAAACGGTTGTCCGAGCCTACCTGGACTCCATACCAGGAGCGCATAGAGTGCTAGCAAAACAAAACGCAGGTTGGGGGTACGTTTTACGTGAGAAACACTGCTGACATCATTGTTAGTAAACCACTGAATGCGTGACACGTTTTTATTTTTCTTGGCTGGACATGTGCATGTGACACGTTAGATATATATTTTTTCTTTGGTTGTAAACGTTAGTCGTTATTTATTTATTTTTATGAGAAATGGCGTTTGTACATTAAATACATACATTTTTTTATAAATTCGAGAATAATAATGATAAAAAATAAGGTTGAAAATAATATAACTGTATTAAAATGTGCGAGTTTTAAGGGACGATTGTTGGGTCACGGTCTGAGAGTGACAGCTAAGCAGTGGTCATAAAAGAAATGAGAGGAAGACTGGTAGGGGATTCAGTTTCACCCACTTCGGTTCAGTTCATGTTGAGGTCGAAGGCTGGTCTGGCTCATACTCACATGCTTCTTGTGTTATGCAACGGTAGCTGTCCTATTGTGCTGTATAACAAAAATCTCATCACATTAATAAATGTGTCCCTTATTTCGGTGATCTTGTCAATGCGTACTGTGAATTAATGCCATATATACTTACATAAAATAACTACATAAAACCCTCTTTTCTACATGAATGTCTCGGATCATTAATTAGCACCATTCAAAGTCAAGCTACTATAACAAGAGCCTATAACTTGAAACACAATGTTGTATACATCTTTCTTGCGGGTTTGATAGCCAATCATACACAGCGTACTGTTTGGGAAAATATAAAGACCAATCAATGAGCTACTGTACCTTTTGTTTACCTTATTGTAAAAGAAACACACACTATCTCTCTTTTTGGATAAAAGGACAAAGGGGGAAGATGATTTGTCAGCTAAGACTAGCTGAGACTCAGTGCTAACAAGGTCATAGTCAATTGCATTCAATTCTAGATGTCCATGCTACAAAGCTTGTTTCGCAATTCCCATTCTGCTTTTCACCAACTACTAATGTATTATATATATATGGAGCCCTTTATCTTTCTTGAGGAGAAAGAATCCGAGTGAACATAACAGAATCAAATCATCATCATGTGGGTACATGGGAAACTTTGTTCCATTCTCCTGAATTGTTCATCTTTGTTGACTCTTCTTTTTAAGCTAAAATCTGGAACTGGGTCAAACGCTATAACTTCATTCGCCACTGGTTGACAGCCACTAACAAAAGGAATCATTTTTGACTAAGAACACATGAATCGATACCAGTAAGGTTTCGACTTATATATGTAACTGGACTCTTAATGCACAACGCATTCTTGATTTTCCTTGCTGAAATGCATGGTGCCGTATATTGACTTAATGACAAATTCGTTCAATGTTAGTGGTTATGGTTCAAATGTTTTGCAGTTCAAAATTTAATTTAACTGCCCATGATGCATGAAGTTATAATCAAATGGGAGGAAAATTTTACAAGAAGTTTTTGTACTGTAATATTGAAAAGAAACATTTTAAACTCCCAAGATGTCAGCAATTAACTATTATTTGCAGAAGATCTTGATCCCTCTACCAAAGGTGAAAATTATATACATGCAATCATATATATATAAAGGAGGTTGAATATGTTCCTTGTCTATATCTTTATTTCATGACAAAATAAAAGTAACAGACTAACCGTATATTCTAAATTAAAAACGAATAAAGGGTAAAATACTAAAATTGAAAGGAGTCCCAAACAAGCCATTGCGCTATTAGTCAATTATTAATTCTAGATTAGGATGAATCATTTTGTCACACGTGCCTATTACGTCAAGTGCCCAAACTAATTTCAAATTGATTTGTCGTTCAGTAGCCGCATAGCAGTAATTATGATTAACCAAATTGATCATGAGCTTTGGTATGAACGAGATGTACCGTGATATATAGAGAAACTACCAACACTGCATGGAAAAGAATATTACACTAATCTTGACATTCAAAGCTTTCATTAACTGGATCTCATTAATTCTCATAATATTACACTTAAAAAACTGGAATTCAATGTAAGTTTTACTGTATAGTTTGTTATTTTAAAGGAAAATGTTTTTGTGGACACTCGTGAGTGTGTACACTAGAGAGAAAAGGAAAAGAAAAAAGTGAAGCCGTAGATATAATAATTAATATAACATAATATAAAAAAGAAAGATAATAAATAAATGGTTATGTTTATATATATATATAAACAGTGACATTTTCTCATCTCATCAATGGGTGTGGATTGAATAAATATGTAGGTAAGTAAGAAATAAGAAGTGAAAAAAAATGTAAAAATGTGCATATAATGTGACTACGTGGGGTGCTGAAATTTTGAAGGATGCAATTTACGTTATTTTTAATAAATTACACAAGTTCAAAAGCTAAAAGAACTAATTATAAACTTGTAGAATATTTTTCTTTAACCAATGTACTACTTAAATTACATTCAAAATACTCAATACAGAGGCTGAATAAGCCCATTTCTCTCCATCCGTTTTTTGAGGGAACAAAATAAAAGCTGTATAAAACAGTGTAAAAAACAAGCCTATATTGATAATTGGTATAAGATTATTTACTCCATAGCAAATCTTTCACTACATGAGAGGTGATCCCATACGTCAGCCGCAAGTTTCGTCAATATTTTTCCTCACAAATCCAGTTTGTATATTGTTGTAGCCTAATAATTAATTATGATTGTGAAATTCATTACGAGGTCGTGTACGATTTACGAACAAGAGATACGGTGATAGAGGAAACTGCCACATATGGCAGAAGCCCAAGAAAAAAACACGTAAATGTTGGCATCGGCACAGTTCAGCAAACATGAAAAAGTTATCATTACAGAAGGAAGATGTGTCAACCTCAAACCCATAAATCAAGCCGAACAAAGGAACCGTATATCTATCTGTATGTACAAAGCTTATTTTCTAAGGAAGAATGATGTTTCTGAGGTTGGTTTGGTCCCGATATGTATGCTTTTTAATACGTGTTTCGAGTTAACGCAAATACTACAATAATTTTTGTCTTTTTTTTATATATATAAAAAAACTATTATTAATCATTATTCTTTTGTAATTTTTAATAAAAGTTACATTAACATATTTTTAATAAATTTTTATTTTTAAAATTTTAATTATATCTTTAGAATATTGGTTAACAAAAATTTGGAATAAAAGTTGCGATTAAGTTTTGACAGTTGTTTATAATAAATGCACGAGGTCATGCGAGCGATATAATAATATTTTTTAATATATGTTTAAAGATACAGATAAAAAAGTAACAAATACTAATTTTCATTAAAAAATAGTACTTAATATTATTATTTCATTAAATATTTATTGTGTCCTGAAACACATTTAAAAAACTATAAAATTGGAAAGTGTGTTTTAAAAGGTGGAATGTTAATAACACATGTTTTGAACATAATTTTTAACATATTTTTCATAATTTGGTCGGTTAAAAAATTAAAATAATTAATTTCGGAAATAAGTATTTTAATTTCTTCAAAATTAATTATTTACAAGAATTGTATTAACAAAATATTTAAAAGAGAGGTATTTGTAATATTTTTTAAAAAAATATTATTTTACCAGAGTAAACTAATTAGATTGATTTGAATTATAGAAAAATATAAAATTAAAATATGATTAATTTAAACTAAAAATTATAAATCTTCCAAAAAAAGTTAGAAGAGTAGACAATTTTTATAAGAGGAATATTACAACACACTTTTTATTATTGGTTTAAATTTATTGAAAACTAAAAAAATATGAAGGAGAAACATTAATTTAAGAATAAGAAAGAGTGACACTTACATAATTTTTTTAATTTTCAATAAATTTTAATTAATAATAAAAAGCGTGTTAAAAAAATTTGTATTGCTAGCCTTATTTTCTTTGTAAAAAGAGCACAAAATATTGTATTTAAGGCTTAGAGAAAATGGTAATTAGGGCACAAAATTTAACGATTGTTTATGTCAATCAATTTCATTTAATTGGTTCAAATTAACTCAACATTTTAGTATACAAATCCTCTTAATTAAAATTACATATAAAATTATTTTTTAATTTTAAATATATGAGAATAGGCTGTTAAAGCACAATAAATTTTAAGTGTGGGTTTGCCCTTAAATTATTATTTGTTATTCAAATATTTGGATAGTTTATGATGAATCTGAGATATCAAATAATTTAAAAAAAAAAATTGGACAGAATTTGAAGAATTTTACATAATGTGAAATCACGATTTAAATAATATAAAATAAAAAATTATAGTAGATGAATTTTAAACAGCGAAAAGTAAACAATATGTGTGATTCAATTTGAGAATATTTCATGTGAAAAGAGAATTTGAAAATTTTATGCAAAAAATGAAAAATGTTCCAAATTTACATAATATTAAAAATAAATACAATTAATTAGGTTGATACGAAACTAACAGAGCAAAATTACTCATAATTCAAATTAAATAAACTAAAAATGTAAATAAACTTATTTTAAATTAGAGTTAGTTACATAGGAACTTGATATTAACTATAAAGTAAGCAATTTCGTATCCGAATTCTGAGGACAAAATAAATTCTCACCTCATTGAAGTGAAAAATTATTGCATAATCTCATACAACGATCACAACAAAATCAAAATATAACATATATATACTTTTATTAAATATTGGACATACGGCAAAAAATGAGTGGCCAAGACCATCACCTAAAAATTCATCTATTAAAGCAAGACGAAGGATCAAACAAAATTGAAGCTGGGGACAAGTACTTTGAATTTCTTAGTATCCATGTTATCATCTCGATTATCATCCAGTTTTCACTGTCAGATCACCTTATTATTTTTATTTACAATTTTTAAGTAAGAATATTTCTCTTTTTTTTTTTGGAATCGAGCTAGAATTGTTTTGAAATGAATTTATTATATTAAAATTATAAAAATAAGATATATATTTTTTGATACAAATTTATTGATTTAAATATTTAAATTTAATATTAAGAGTCGAAGTTGATATTTTTATTTTATAAATACCGTCTCTTATCCTTAGGTTTAGGAAGTTCTATTTACTTTCATCTTATGTGTCACATTTTCGATACTGATTAAGAACATTTTAACTAATAATAGTCAAATAAGCTTGAATACATAGAAAACAAAAATATTTCATTTACACGTATTAAATATGTAAAGGAACGAGAAAAAAGTATGAAATATAGAAGGAAAAAAAGAGATAATAGTTCAATAAAAAACCGACACTTTAAACAAGTTGATACTTCACTGATATAACCAATAGCAAACGTCATAACCAATGCCTATTCCCATCCCACAATCCCCTCATTTGAAGTTAAATTGAGTATAATAATTCTCATGGAATAATTCAGAAACTAGAACTTTCACTTTGGTAGCTTTGCTCTCATTTTCACTATATGACAATCATGTCACTGCCATCTATTCCATCATGGGAATTGAACCACCAGTAGCCCGGATTTCTTGCTGCAGCTGCAGTGATCAATATATATAGCAAATATAGATATGCGCCAATAGGATTCAAACTGTGTTATGAATTGCCAAATCCTCTCGGGAGATAAAAAATATTCAATCCTCCTTGAACAAAATATTACACTTACCCTAAACAATATTGAAGATTGTTCTTCAATAGAGAGTATTCGTGTTGCAATTGCTGTAGACATCTCATACACCTGCACCAGTATTATTTTTTCAGTGAATCTCATCAAGCTTAATTTCAATCATATACCAGATTAATATTGGTTTTGACTGTATTAGAAGTTCATGAAGGACAAAACAAACATCTTACCTACGAGCAATCGTTTTAGCTGAGTGATTTTATAACTAAGTTCTTACTTTTTTCAAATTATTTGATGCTTAGGATAAATTAAGAGCTGTTGGTAAATAACGTGGTTTTATCTTAAAAATATGAATACATGTTAACAACATCTTACATGCATTTCATATCAGATAATCTTTTATTATCTTAGGTAGTTGATTTGGGAAACTATTTATAATCATTAAATGACTGCAAACGCTATTTTAGTTTTATTTAATACAATGAAATATTTACTATTAATAATAAAATTATTTTTGAAATTATAAAACTTATTAAATTTAAACATAATTATAATAATCCAAGCAAAGCAACTACAAAAATGATTTACATGTACGATAAACAAATATTGAAACAATAGCTTAAAATGCATGGTGAAGCAGCTTAAGGAGGGGATGGAAGAGAATGGATTAGAAGATGAGTTTGCAGTTTGCACAACTCACCCTTCCAAGTTCTGAGGCTCGCAGATTTTTCTGAAGTTAGTGCACAATTTTTAACTCTCGCAGCACCAACATTGATAACCAAGTAATGTCACAGAATAATAATTTATTTTTTGCTCAGAATATGCCATCGTATTACTGTTAATTTAATTTTTAAAAAACTCAATCATGATTGAATTTAAATTACATTATTATATTAATCTTTTTATTATCTGAAAAAATATATGTTAAAAGATTTAATGATGATAAATTAAGCTGTGATACTAAGATAGTTATATATAATACATGTATGGAATATCCTATATACTGTTACAGTTACTTCTCAATTTTGAAGATTTGGTACATCATAGCATAGAAAGTTGAATGAGGATTCGGAAGAGAAAAAAGAATCTCACGAAGCATAGGGCCAAATAGTCACGGTGCTTCCTCTGCAACTGAGTCACATCCATGGTGGTTTGGTGTTGCAATGCGATTTTGAGTTGAAACTGAATTGAAAATGTTGTTGTGTACTTTTTGTTCAGAGGAGGAATCAAAGAAAGGGACACGGGGAATTCTCCGTAATTGTCCACTGCTTTTGGTTTTGTCTCACTAATATTAACGTCTTCAAATTCAAAAAAATTGAATCTTGTTTCCATTCTAATGCTCGAGTCCAGGGTCGTAGGGTTGTCTCTTTTCGGATTTAGACTAAATTAAAATAAAGCAAAACTTGACATATTTATAGTGTATTCATTTGGATTTTGTCAATTATATTGTATTAATTTGGTTCGGATGAATAGATTAGGTTAAAAAATAAATTAGTATATTTCGTCGATTAATGTTGTATCAATTTATACTAAAGTTTAAAATGTATAAATTTGCAACTTTTTCTCATCAGAACAATTAGTATATTCAGAAACTGTTATTTTTTTGCATTAGAATTTGAACTAATTTGATTCATCAAAACAATTAACCTATTTTCTTTAAATGTAAGTCTAAATAACTGAGCTACTTTAATTCTTACAGAAAGAATTAGCCCTAAAGATAGTAATTAGAGAAAGTTGTTTGATATTGCTACTTGGATGGTTTGGAATGAAAGAAATTTTTTGGTGTTCAAATCTAAGAAATCTGATCCGAAGTTTATCATGAGTAAGATGATTAATTTTCATAACTATATCAATACTAATCCATTTTATGCATATTGTGTTTTGTCTTGATTGACAAAAAAAGGATCCTTCCATAGGCTCGAGCTAGGAGCATAATGTGAATGGATCAGTTAATGATAAATCAAAATTAGCTACTTGTGGGGTCTTATCCATGAAATTCAAAGTGTTTTGTTGGTTTTCCCATGGAAATATCATAGGATACATGATTTTTTATTCAGCTCCTTCATTTTTTTAGTTCCTTTGTTTATATCTGTGGTATTACAATTTCTAGATTGATAAGTAGTTTTCCTATTTGTTTTGGGCTTTGAGCCCCATTTACTATAAAAATTAATAAAAAAATGAATGTTTAGTTAATCCAAGTTAAAAAAGATAAATCTAAGAACAAAAGTAGCTGTAATTAGTTCGATATAGGTTTAAAATAAATTATTGATAATTAAAAATAATTTAATCGTTTGGCTTTAATTATCAGAAAAACACTGTTAAGTGAAATGGTTTTTTCAAAATTAAATTGTGAATCTTTGAAGTGAATAACGAAGTAATTAATTTCTAATTTAATTTCATTAAAGTTTATAAAAATACATTTTTACTTATTTATTGTAGAAATATATTTATTTGAAAATAAATTTTAATGTAACGATATTAATATAATGTAATAGTTAAAAATTATAGAAACTAAATTCAAATTAAAGAAAAATAAAAATAAAAATATTTATTAAAATAATGAATAATTTGTTTTTCACTTATGTCACATTTTTAATAATAATTTACTATTTTTAAATATTTAAATTTAATTTAAAATCACCAAATTTGTTTTAAATGTATATTAAAATTTAGAATTGTCGTCTTTTATGAAAAAAAATCTCAAAATATATATATTTTTTATAATACATAAGTTAAAAAATCCATAACTAACATGTATCAATACAACGTGATTTATGTATAAGCATGATTATAATAATACTATTTTGAGTATAGAGTATATTTATTTAGAGATAGAATATAAGTCATTTAATAGTAGTACAATTTATTAATTTAATATATTTGTGCCTGTTTAAAAACAAAATATAAATTATTTAAAAGTGGTGTGATTTAGAGTACACGAAGTGAGCTTAAATTTTTTATGTTAAACTTTTAGAGGCATAAAATTTTATCTGTAATTTTAATTTATATAAATTATGTGTCAATTTAATATAATTTTTTAAATTTATTTAATTAAATTTGTTTAAAATTCAAAACATAAATCATGCAAGAGTAGTGCTCCTAAACACTATTACATAAAGTAAATGTTAGAAGAGTAACATTTATAAAATAAATTGTAATAAAATATTTATATAGAACTTAAAATATAATTTTTTGAATATAAAGATTAATTAATCGACAAAAGTAAATTAAGATAATTAAATGTGAGCGACTCTTTTACAAAAGGTTTTATTTTATTTTCGTGAGAATTTAGTCTTTTAAATCTATTCTCATTCCTTCAAGAAGGAATTTTTTTTTTCTTTAAGTAAAAAAAAATTAGTCGAGGTTAAAGAAAATGTTTTTCTTCGAAGTGAGTAATAATTAAAGTATTTGACTTTTCTTACAAAATGTTTACCATGTACGCCGTCAGAGAAACAATGCCATACTTCTTCCGTTATTAAATAATATCATATGATTATATCAAAGAGAAAATAATATCTTTTTTATTAAGTTAAATAAACTTTTGGTCTTTTAAAGTATATTAAATTTAATTTATATTTTAGTATCTATACTTTTAAAAATTGTTGATTGTGATCTCTAATTATATTAAATGATAGTGTGGCTGATTTAAATGTTGACATTTTTTTTTATTATTAAATTACATAAGTGATAAGATCAAAATTAAGAATTTTAAAAATATAAAGATTAAAAAATTATAGAAACTAAAATTTAAATATAATATATTTGGAGAAATAAAAATTATATTGAAATTTTTTATTAATTAAATTATGATTGACTGTAAGATCCATTAATTAAATTTAATAAATATCATATTACTTAATTACTTAAATCCAATTCCTCTTTGAGAAAATTCCAATCCCATACACGACGTATGAGAGAAAATGAACTTTTGCCTTTCTTCCGGAAGAAAATGGAAAATTGAAAGGAATTAGATATATCACCGTCAATATTTAACCACAATTCATCTAGTGTTGCTGTTACTCTCGTATGATTCATGTTCCTTTCAATTACTCTGAATCAAGGAGCTCTTCTTGAAAGACTTTTCTGAAAAATGGAAGTTGAGATTTCTTCGTCAACTTAAAGCAGCTAAGGTTACCATTCAAAAGCTGTACAACCTGCACCAATGGGTCACTAGCCAAATCATGAACTTAATTTGCTACTGTTAAACAGACAGAGACCTCCTAGTACCTAAATAAATACAGGGTCCCATGTTCATGGACTTCAATTTTCGTATATAGAGGTCAAATGAATAGCAGTTTTATTAACATCTGAGGCAAAGAAACTCATCAAATTTACCAAATCAAGTAGTTAGAGTTGCATATTATCTGCCACTAGAAAATTTGTACCACGGTAAAAATAGAAATTGGCAAGGAAGATGCAAGCATCATACATCATTCAATACCCCACAAACATTCACAGAAAAAATAAAGTAAAATAATTGCTCACATGTCATAACTAGAATAAAAAAGGAAAATTTAAGATGAAAACTAAGTTTTGTTGACATAGAAAACATGCCTGTCTCATAGAGGGACGACGAATAGAGGATTGTTGAATGCATAAAGAAGCAGCCAAGAGCATAATATTAATCTGCCGACAGTCAAAGTCATCGGCCAGTGAAGAATCAATCAGCTCCCTAATATAGTTCTTTTTCAGCAAAGGTTTTGCCTGGATAAGTATTATGAGAAATTAAGAAACTATGTTATTTCTAATCAGGAGTGTAAAGAATTTTTATACTTTCATTCCATCATATATTGACCTATGAACAAACAATTATTATAATCATTTTAAATAAAAATAAGCTCTTATTATATTTTATAATCAGAAGTTGAAACAAATATTTTTATTTTGTTATTTGTTGAATTGCACAACATACCCACAAAACAAGGCTTTGCTGTGAAGAATCAAGTGCTCGCCGCCCAGTGACTAATTCTAATAGCACTACACCAAAGGCAAATACATCTGTTTTCTCATCCACTATCCCATGAAGCAAGTATTCAGGAGCAAGGTAACTGCGCCAGTGATAATTGAAACCTGAGTAAATAGGAAGTTACAAAAAAAGTACAACATTCAATCATTTATGAAAAGTTACAAACCCGAAAGTCCCTTCAATTTTTGAAACGGTGTGATGAGTCCAATTCTCTGGTAGCCATTTTGCTAGCCCGAAATCACAAATCTGCTAAAAATTTCTAAACGTTTCAAATTTGGACTTATTCTTAGAACACTATGTAGAAATAATGTACATTCGTGCATTCAACTTTGAAAAACGTACAATTGAACGTTGAAGTACAAACGGGAAACAAGACAGGTCTAATAATTTCGTTCCTAACATAAAATAAGGTATGTTCCAAAATATTTTGTCCTTAGGGGCCATAAACGAGGCCAAAAAGCAGGAATATGTGGTGATCAATTATAGAACCAAATTTGTATAAAAAAATCCAAAGCCATATACATGCCTGCGGTTCAAACTCCTCCGTAAGCAAGATATTTGCTGCTTTTATATCTCTGTGGATAATTCTTCTTTGACAACCTTCATGAAGATACAATATTCCCTTAGCTGTTCCTAATGCTATTTTCTGCCTAATAGACCAAACTAGTTTCTCCTTGGAACCTAACAGTAGAGAAGAACAGTAAATTTACTGTGATGTTAAACACTGGCTCAACAGCAAAGTAAAATGGAAAATAGTTTTTACACCACTTGGCAGGGGTACCTTTAGACATTATCCTTTATATTTACCATATATTTTTAGGGAAAAATAAAAAGCAATTATATATAATGTTACATATTTTTATCAATTTTTAATAGTTTAAATAACAAACTCTGAAATAAAATTGACCCTACCATATAGCACCGAAGCTAAGCTCCCCTTTTCAGACAATTCAAGAACTAAATGCATTCCTCCGTCCACTCCATAGCCAACTAACTTAGCAGTATTGGGATGGTTTACATGCGCCATTATGCCAAGTTCTGATAAGAAGTCCCCTATAGTTTCATTTTCTGCTCCTCGTGTTAGCCGTTTAATCGCTACTAATTGACGAGTTGGCAAACACCCTTTGTAAACATCAGCATAACCACCCTTACCAATAAAATTTTCTGCACCAGCCAATGTAAAATTTGCTAACCAAATAACTAAGTGTAAGAAATTTAATACTGAAGCGGGTTGCATATATATTATATATACCTTACCTTGGCCGAAATAATTGGTTGCAGTTTGTATCTCATGCTGGGTGAAAATCTTCCACGGTGGAGACCTGTGCAAGGGCGAATCTGCATCTATTAGAGTCTCGCTCATGCTACTGCTCATTCTTCTCGAAAGCTTGAGAACACTGAGAGGATGCAATGTGGGTATTGGCTTCTTTGAACTGGTCCTCAACAATTGAAGAAACGCATGCCACTTAGAACCGGGTTTTGACTTTTCTTGAGACTCAGATTCCACAGTGGGTTCTTTGGAGGAACTTGTTTCTGACTCTGAGCTCTTCAAATAGTCCTCCAGAACACCAACAGGGGAATCCACCTTGTCCTTCATTTTTTTTTTCTGATACCCACAACCCAAAACCCTTTGATAAAAGAGAAAAAAATTACAAAACCACCCCGAAAGTATGAAACTTCATGATGCAGGAATCACGTAATGGTAATCAAAGCAACGAGAATAAACTGAAGGGCTTAATCGTTATTATTATTATTATAGATTGGACTGGTGAGGTTCATGAAACTGTCAACAGAATTTTCCTAGAAAACAAATAGAAAAAGCTTAAGAGGGTGGGAATGAACGAAGTCCAAGGGACAATCGAAAGCAACAGAACGAAATTGTGTATGAGAAGAGCTATGTGCACTGTAATCACATGGGAACAGAACACACAGGGTGAAAGGAGGACAGAAAATTAATCAAACACAACATGGTGAGAATAAAAATGAAGTTGGGTAGCTGGGATGTCATAAAGGCAACCTCATAGTATTTAATTTGATTTATGTGTATTTTGTTCTTTTGAGAATTGTAAAAGAGAGGGCAGGGAAACCAGGAGACAGAAGAGTGAACAGAGACGCAGACATGAGCCGTTATTACTTAGCGGAACCCCTTCAACAAACAACCATCACTGCCTTTTTCAATGTTGCCTTGCAATGTCGCTTTCTATTTTAAACAATTTATTTTTGTTATCCATCCACGCAAATCAGAACAATTTGGTGATAAGCATAAAGAATAAATGGTATAATAAAATAACACTTAGAATGTTATCTTGGTTCTATATATAGAAACTGGCAAAAATTGATATTTTTTTCACCATGTTTGATAGAATGTAAATTTAAGTTTTAAATTTTGGGTTTAAATTAAATTAAATCCGTTATTATTATTTGGATCGTTGAGGAAGAATAAAAAGGTGGTAAAGAACAAAAGATGACTTAAAACTCCTTGACACGGTAGCTTCTTTGGTCAGAGAAAGGGTTTGTTTTGTGTCTGTGGTCTCCCCTTGGATATGGCACGTAACAATGTGCTTATTGGCTTGTTGCTTAACGAGCCACCCTACTCATCCTTGGCTTCATTCATCAAAATGTGTCTTGTGCTACGTCCTATGTGAACCGTCAAAAGTAAAAGCCATACTAGTTCGAATCGATGGCAAAGTTGGTCTTTTTTAAATTCTAGTTTCATGATTCTGTATTTGATGTAGCTGCAATTTTTAATTAAATAAGTAAGACGAATTGTTACTATTATCGACATTGAGCTTTCCAATTAAAAGATATAGACAACCGTTTTAATTCTTTTAACAAATCTTATCACTGATCGAGTTTGCATACAAATTTCAAAAATTTAATATTATATACAGATAAAAACATAATTCCAAGAATTACAATTTTTTCATGGAAAATTTTCCGTGAGTTAAAATGATTTGAATTCTACAAATTCAAATGGAAATTATGAACTTTATTTAAAGAATTTATTTTTCTCATTTATAATGTATGAATTTGAGATTTATTTTAAAAATCAGAATATGTAATATTATTTTGTCTTTTTTCCCCTTATGTCAGGCTTCCTCTAATGTGTAACGTTCAAAAGCTAATATTTAAAATAAAATAAAATAGAAATGGACCCCATAATCAATTGTCACTTGCGTACAAAATCAGCCTTGAAGCAACGTAACGAACACAACATACAAAATTCCGGCTAATTATAAGAAGAAAACAAATTTGAAAGTTTGATTCACTATCATTTCAGGGTTGTAAATTACAAGCACTATGGAAAAACCAAACCTCAATGATTATTATCGAGTGTTGAATGGATCGTGCCAACGTGTTAAATTGTTTATGTATTATTTCGCAATTAAGTTATATATATATATAAAAGGACAGAATTTTCTTACACTATTTGAGTCTAAAAATTCTGACACTTAATCTGATTTTTTTATTTAATTTATATCTAATAACCAATAAAGTAATAAATTATAACTTGTTAGATGTAATTTAAATGAAAGTTTCAGATTGAATATAAGAATTTTTAAAATTATATTAGTATAACTCGTTAGACATAAGTTTGAATTACATTAATATAACTCGCTAGAGGTAAGTTAAATGAAAACTTCATATTGAATATAAGATTTTTAGACTTACATCAATATAAAAAATTTCTTCACTTTTATATATATATATATATAAAAGTTTGAGGTTTAAGCAATAATATAAACATTTGTTTGATTAGGGTTGGTGACTCTTACTAATCTTGATGTATAAACTCGATTGATTCATTTGTGGGAGAAAATTTAGTTAAATTAATTAGACCCGTTAAGCGAGATTCCACCTATCACCTATGTGTATATATAACTTCTATTTATTTCTTATACATTAATACTGATTTTATCGTATACTTTTATATAATATGATATGATGTGTTTCTTGTAATAAGAAACTTTTTTATTTCGGTACGTTACTATCCAATAATTTTGGGTAAAATTAGTGATTTTATTTTTGGGCTTCAATTTTTTTGTTTAATTTATTTTTAATTTTATATTAATTTAATTATTTCGTTATAATATATAAAATTTACTAGAATCTGGTAAAAAAATGGATTATTTTTAGTATAGTAATTGTTAAAATTGATGGAGGGTACTGTAAAGAATTTGCCACAAACTAACAAATAAAAAATGTCAAGTATTAAGACCATATTTGTTAATATAACTTTTTTCTAATTAAAAGAATTGTTAGTATACAACTTGAAATTTAATACTAACAAATATTGCATTATACTAACATTTAGTGCATTGATTATATATATTAATATTTTTAAATATGTCATTGTTAGTAAAAACTCATAATATCTATATTAGAAGTTTTATTTTTCGTAGAGAAAAATTATATTAACAAAGGCTAATCTAACATTAAATTGTTAATAATTGATATTTTTTTCAGTGGCTTTAAACATTATTTTGTGACCAATATATTAAAGCTTTGAGTAAATTTAACGGTTAATTAAAAAGAGAAATTGAAATGTAGAGATTATTTATTTATTATTATTAATTAAAACCTAATTTTAAATATTTTTTAATAATTATTAAAATTGATTGAGTGATTCTTCTAGACATTGAGTTACAGCTAACGTATCAAAATTTACATAATTTTATTGACTAAAATAAGAAATCAATTGGATAGTTCATGAAGATTCACTCTACTTCAAACATAATGTTTTATATTTTGATAATAATTGATTAAATTTCTTTAGCAATTTCACTTATTATTAACATGTGACTTTTAACAGTGTCATGACAATATGACTAACTTTAGGGTTAAGAGAAGTGAATCGTCTTGACGCAGTTTAAAAATGCAATTTATAGCAAGATTTAATAATATTATGACAAAATGACATGTTGAGACAAAAATAAAAGCTACATGACTTTATTAACAAAAATAAAATAAAATAAGAGGATGAGTTTGAAATAAAAAATGTTAAAAAATAGATCATTGATTTTACAACAACTCTATTTTTTTTAATTTTTTTTTGTAACATGTCAACAAGCTGATATTTTATATCCAACACCACACAAGGCTAACAGTTTAGGACAAATTATATTAATTCCTTTAAGGTTTAACAAAATTTTACTTGGTATTCATCTATTTTTTTTATTACCTTAAGCTTTCTAAGTTTATACAATTTAATATGAAATCAAGGTGATTAAGGCAATCGAGAAAGATATGTGATATTATATTGTTACATAAATTGTTAAAAGTTTGTGTACGGTCAAAAAAATTAGACGCATCGTCTGAAATTTCATTAAACTTAAAGAGGTATAATGTAACTTTCCCCTTTATGTATCATGAAACTGTTGAATAATTAGGTTTTAGAGGTTTTTGTTATATAAATATCAAATAATTAATATTGAATACATCTATTTATATCTCACATATTTAAAAAAAACATTCCCCTAAAATCAAAGGAAATAACAAAAGTTGTCCCATTTTTGTTGTATCAAAACTATGCCGTTTAATATTTTGTTTTTCTAAACCTAGCAAAAAAAATCCCAAGCTTCACTCTTTAGATAATGAAACTTTGACTTGAGAAAACAGTCCTGGACATTCTTCTACCTTGCTTGCAATAAAGTATAGCGGTCAATCACATTATCTTCTTGTTTAATTTATTTATGGAATTTCAGACAAAAATCATTTGACCACGTTTAATTGGATATAATTGACTAATCAAATGTGCTGAATCATGATCCAGTCCAAGCAAGATAATTGTTTATGCTCTACTTTTTTGCGTGCATAAGCTAATTGTATACAGAACACTTTTTAAGTTTCAAAAATCATGCACAGGATGAGTATTTATGAATTCAATCTAGCACGATAATAAATTTACAATTCGAAAGAATATCGAGATTTACAATTCAAAAGAATATCGAGACTAATGCCAAACTGATGTTGACATTTTAAAGTTGTGCGGTGTTTGTGTTTTTTAATACAGGATATATGCTCTGCTCTCATGCACAATTCTTAGAATTATTTCCTCAGTTAGAATAGCTAATTTGGTGTATATATTATTTTTTTAATTTTTCTTTATTACAGAATAATGTCTAACAATATCAAGAATATGAGAAAGATAATTTAGTCTATAGTTTAGGATCTGCACCTATCATGTACTTGTATATAATTGCCTATTGATCAATAAAATGACACACGACTCTTATATCAATATCATAACTTTGTTATAGTATCATAGTGCACAAAGTCCTGGTGAGAATGTGTGATAAGACTTTCCTTATAGATAAAGAGAAAATTGAAAATGTCAAAACTGAGAAAGTTGAGACTAAGATTGAATTGGTGAAAAAGATACATTCACTATATGACTTGCATACAAACAATAACTTAGGAAATTTGATTACTCAGGTGCAGCTGAAAGGGAAAAACTATGATGAATGGGCCAAGGTCATGTGTACCTCCTTACGTGCAAGACGTAAATAGTGATTCGTGGAAGGAGATATTCTATAACCAGAAAATAATTCTCCTAAAATAGAAAATTGGTGGACAGTGCAGTCTACACTTGTGTTATGGGTTCTAAACACGATTGAACTGAGCCTCTGATCTACCATCTCCTACCAAGAAAATGTGAAAGACTTGTGAGAGGACATTAAGGAGTGGTTCTCTACTGCAAATGGACCACAGATTCAACAACTGAAGGTGGATTTGGTAGAATGTTGGCAAACAAAGATGACCACGGTAGCATACTATGGAAAGCTGAAGACTTTACTAATTATTAGAAAACTCCTCTATGCACTTGTGGGGAATGCAGATGCAATATGGAGACCAAATTAGAGAAACAACAAGAAGAAGAAAAGGTGCAACAATTTTTTATGGGGCTAGACGATGCTCTATATGGAACTGTCTACTCTAGTCTTCTTGCAACTGACTTTTTACCTTCATTGAATCGAGTTTATGCCACTTTGGTACAAGAAGGAAGGGTGAGAAATATAACTCGAGGAAAA